CATCAGTCTACGAGTGATGTGGCTATCAAATTGGTAACACGGCGCTGTTGACCCAGTGGCCAGCAATTGTCTCAGTTTTCGAGACATAAATATCTTCTTGGTGGGACTTGTTGAAAGTCTTCTTCGCTTATTTCAGCCAACACCAGGAAAGGATTCAAATTAGAGGAGGGCTGTTTCATTGATGGGTATGACCCCAAAGAACCCTTCTGATCAGTCAGGATTAATCCCGGTGCTGTCGCCATGGTGACGCTCCGTTCAGGTCTTTTCCGAGAATTTCTGCGTTTCCTGCCTTGAACTTTCCAACCATCATCAGAAATATTAGATACCAAAATATCAGACATTTCAACGGTAGTTCCAACATGTTTGGAGCCCATATCCTCTCCCGCGTCTTGGGAAGATTTTTGAGGGAAATTCTGAGTGTATTCTTGGCTGAGTCCCAGATCTTTCTCATCAATAGATTCGAAAGCCATGTCCATGCTATTCGTCACTACATTCAGGTTAAGCACCTCGTTGTTTCCCATAGTCAAGTCTATAGCCAGAGAGCTGTCAAGAATCACGTTTTCAAGAGAAGAGAGTTCAAGCTTTCCAGGAACTTTCTTGTGTGGTCTGCTTGGGCGTGGTTCCGGATAGTCGTTCTCATCGATGTCGGCCAAAACAATAAAAGGGTTATTAGAAAGAGGAGATATGGAGACAGTTGATTCGGGCTCATTGGTTAGTTTCTTTCCAGAAGTCCCAGAAACTGTCTTCACTTTTTTGACAGTTCTTCTGCGAGAATTTCTGCCCTTTCTTCCCTGAACTTGCCACCCAGACTCCATATCAATATCTGGGTTAGCGGCAGGCAGCAGAGCGATGGTTTCCACTTTGGAGATTTCAAGTTCCCCATTGAAAATAGAATTGTTCTCCGGGAACAAGTTTCCTTGCGTTCTTTCGATCTCACCAGTCTCAGTGCAGTCTACAACTACGGCTGGCTTTATAGAGAAACCAGCCAAGGAGCCAAGCTTAGAGTCTGAATTGGAAGAAAGAACGGAAGAAGCACCAGTGTCCCCGTCGGAAAATTCCAAAATGCTACCGTCGCTTGATGGAGATAAAGTGGTAGAGCAGTCTGTTTCTGTGGCCCTTGGATATCCGGATTGAAAGGCAGAAGAGGCAGCAGCAATTTGAACAGAGATGAAATCAGAGGTAGTGTTTCCACTGTGATTCTGAATCTCAGGTTCAGCCCGAAAGGTGCCAGAGTAGTATTCTTCGATTTGAACAGCGTTCAAGTCTGTGGTGGCAGATTCTGCCTGGACCGAGAGTTCAATAAGGAGCACGACAAGAAAATAGCCTGTGAGGCAAAGCGCAGCGATTTCCGAAACGCAATTGATGAGTCTGAAGCAAAAAATCATTTGTGCAATCATGATGAAGCGTATGTTCGTGAAGAAGGGAGTGATGGAAGAGAGTTTGCAGAAGGTGGAGCGAACACCTGTTTCTATAGGAAAAGTGACTTTTTGCAGTCGGCGGCCTAACAAAGTATGGCTGCGAAATCAGGCTGTCGATTCGCGGATCGACATCGATGTCAAGATGCGACTTCGCTGCGAGTCCTCCAGACGATTTACTTGAAGGTCCAGCCAGGACTGGGCTTCAAGACAACAAAAAGTGTGAATATCGCCTTTTGGATAAAGTTGTTTATTTGGTTTTCTCGAAGCACTGTGTGAACGGCGCTGACACGAGACGTTCGAAGTATGTTGCTGGTTCTTGGTACCATGATTGAAAGGAAGTCTTGAAGTTAAGAGAGTATTTGGATGTGTTTGTGTTTTTGGGCAGTTGCTGTCTAGTTGAACTGACACATTCATGTGATGATGGATTTTGAGTGCATGTAAAGACGAGCTTGATCGGCTTCACGCGAGACTTGTTGGAACAGCGCTAACTTCGATACAATGAATGATGCGCCAAGCGTCAGAGGCGGCCATCGCATGCGAACATCGTACATATCGTCAGGTTGATGAAGATAATAATGGTTATACAAATCGTATTATAACACCCCAACCTTGAACACACAGCGAAATCACACGTAACATCATACTTAAGGTCATACACAACGTCATACTCACTGCCATAAGTCAACGCCATACTCGGCATACTCACGATCATACTTCATGTCATACTCAACATCACATTAACAACATACTCCAGACTACACTCAACATCGCAAACAGCGTCATGCTCAACGACATCATACGAAACTCCCCCCCCCTCATTCCACCGACCGAAACACCCCCCCTTAGTCCCACGCCCCAACCCGTCTAAACACCCACGCGTAGAATGTTCTGCCGCTGGTGACGGAACTTGATCACGTCGTGTCGCTCCATGATGTGCAAGGCTTTGTCGAGCGCCTCGACTGGGATTTTGCCGTTGTCTACGAGCTCCCGTCGGAGCGTTCTGTAGGCCGTGGACCAGCCAATGGGCAACCTCCGTCTCAACTCGATCTCCACCGCCTTGATGTGCTCGGCAAATTTGCCCGTGGCCATGTTGCCACTCTGCACGCCCTGGTCCACGGCGTTCATCGTGGACGCCGTGAAAAGACGGATGGCCTCGTCCACGTGGTCCATCGTGGCCACCGGCGACAAGGTGAGTTTGGCCAACAGCTCGGTGATCCGGATGATGGCCTCGAGCTGCCGGACGGTGATGGGGATGGACGAGCGCTCGTTCATGTCGCTCTCATTGACCTGCAAACGACGCCGGATGGCGACAAAATGGGACAGGAGCTTCTCGGAGGCCTCGGCCGTCAAGCGCGGCGCGCAGCGCGCCTTGGCATACTGGATGTAGCGCTTCATGGTCTCGATGGGGATCTCGCCCTCCTGCTCCTCGTTGTTGGCGGTGTTGCCGGTGTGCACGTTCATCACGTGCTGTGCAATGGACCGGTCCCGCGCGGCGTCGTGGTCATCCTTCACGATGAAGATCATGTCGAAACGCGAGAGGATGGTGGTCTGGAAGTCGATGTTTTCGCCGGGGCTCTTCAAGTCGTCGTAGCGGCCGAAGATCGGGTTGGCCGCGGCGAGCACCGACGTCCGCGAGTTGAGCACGGTGGTGATTCCGGCCTTGGCAATGGAGATGGTCTGCTGCTCCATGGCCTCGTGGATGGCCACGCGGTCCTCGTCACGCATCTTGTCGAACTCGTCGATGCACACCACGCCGCCGTCGGCCAACACCATGGCGCCGCCCTCCAAATAGAAGTCCCTGGTCTGCGTGTCGCGCTGCACAGACGCCGTCAAACCGGCCGCCGACGAGCCCTTTCCGGACGTGTACACGGATATGGGCGAGATCTTCTCGACGAACTTAAGGAGCTGGGACTTGGCCGTGCCGGGGTCGCCTAGAAGCAACACGTTGATGTCGCCTCGCAAGCGCATGCCGTCGGGCAAGATCTTCTTGGACCCGCTCATGAGCAAGCACGTGATGGCCTTCTTGATGTCGTCGTTGCCGTAGATGGAAGGCGCGATGGACTTGGAGAACGTCTCGTAGAGATTGGGCATTCTCGAGAGCCGCAAGAACTCCTCCTCCTCCTCGTCGGAAAACGCGAGGCCCTGCGCGGCGGTGTCCACGTCGGTCTGGATGCCCAAGACCTTGAGGTACGGGTTCCGGATGGCCACCGTGTTGACGGCCGTGGTGGTGCGCTGTTTGGACTGGTAGATCAGGTACGTGCCCACCAACGTCACACGCGTGCCCGGCACCACCTGGTTGGTCAAGTAGCGGTCCACGTGCACCAAGATGTGCCGCGGCATTTCGCCCACGGGCACGGCGTCGGGCGCCTCCTGCAACTTCAACGTCTGCTGGTCGATGAACGATGACTTGTCATGCACCACCACATACGGGTCCGGTGGGCATTTCTGCTGCAGGTGCGACTCGTCGTGGTTGTGGTTGGCCAAGCAGCGCGGCGGCAAGCTGAGCGGGCCGAACCCGGTGGGGACCTTCAACTTCATCGTGTGCTTGCAGTTGCGGCAAAGAAGCAGCACCTGCGTGGCCCGAGACAGGAGCACCGACGCCGAGATGATGATGCCGCTGACCCGCACGATTTTGGAGATGTGGTCCGAGTCCAAGTGGCGGATGGAGATGGGGCTCGAGTTGGAGTACAACACCAACTGGCAGCCCGGGAAGTCCCGAGGAATGTCCTCGTTGGAGAGGTACGCAATGCGCTTGGCGATGTCGGTGATGGCGTTCTCGAAAAGCGGCACCATGTCCAGCGGCAGGTCCGAGAGTTTCTTGTTGAGCTCCTCGTTGAAGCCGATCAAGTGCTCCGAGTTCACGCGGAGATAGTAGTTTTTGATGAGCAAGTTCTCCCGCAACTGGTCCCGGTAGATGAACAGGTTGTTCAACCGGAATTCCAAGATGAAGTTGCGGAAAGCCTTGGTCACCTCGTTGAACGAGTTGTCCTCGGGCTGGTCGCCGGGCAACACGTGGGCGCTGTACGTGTCTGCTCTCTCGTACGACATGGCTGAGGAGAATAGAGGAAAAGCGAGTTGTGGACGGGGGCCCGAGATGCGAACAATTTATCGGATTCGGAAGCGTAATGGGACGCGTGCGGCCTGTGTGCAGGGGCCTCGCATCCTGGGCGGGCGGGAGCGAGGCTCGCTGGAAGACTGGCGGGGCTGGTTATGGAGCGATTGGTGATTGTCTTTTCTGTCGCCTCAAGGCCAGCTGCAAAGCCGGCTGTGTAGATGCATGCAGATGGTCCAAGCTCCCGCTTCATTGCGGGGCGAGAGTGCGCCTAATGCAGCGAATCTGCACCAGGTTATTCTTGCCTTACTATTTCGGTTTATCGCGTATAGCCGCGAATCGGGAAACCGGAAATCACCAAAGATCAGGAAGGCATGAGCCTTGGCACCGATCCCTGCAAAATGCCGGGCGTGCACTCTTGGTGTTTTGGTGTACTCTCATGCCGAGATATGTTTCCACAAAACGCCGATATGCTTTCTGATATACTTCCAGAATACTCCGATACATTCCAGAATACTCCCATATATTCCCAGAATACTCCGATACACTTCCATGTGCTAATCGAAGGCTTCAATGGATTCAATGCTCAATTATGACACTCGTAGCAAATCTCTGCTATACTATGTGCAGCAGTCAACTACTTCTATTCAAGATGATTTGGCTCTACGGGACGAAACCCCAAATCTGAATGTCGAAAAAACTGATTCCCAGGGAAGAACCGTACATTCTTGTAAAGGTAATTTTCTGCGACGGCCAGTACTGTGTTACTCTTGTAGTTGGTGTTGATCCTCAGATAGCATCAAATTGTGAATCTACCCCGTGACTTTCGAGAAAATGTGATCTCTTTGACTCTCAAGCACTCAAGCAACGTGGCATGGCGATAAAATGGAATTGACACTGGCAGATCTACTCCCAAAACTTAATAGAACTGTGTCTTGACCGAACCTTTGCCAGGCACTTCGTCTTTTTTCTTGACGCCCAGATAGAGTGAAAGTATGTGTTGTTAATGCTTGCTTACCCTACTGATCCTATTCTTAAATTTAAAACCAGTTCATGATAAATTAAATTATTCAATGTAACTCAATGTGGTATTATTGATAACGGTATCAAATACGCTGTTAATATCATTCAATATCATTAATGTGTCTGCTACTCCATCCTTTATTCCGAAACATTTCCTATCACACGTCTGCCGAGACGGCACTACAAGCTTTGTGCCTACTACTAATCATGACAAGAGACGAAACCCTGCAATAAGTGCATAAACGGCAGACAATTTCCGATATATACATTAACTGTTGTGCATGAATTCGCTCGAATATCGTCATGTGTGTGATATCATCGTGCGCTAGCGGCATCACGGATGCTCAGTGTACAGACGGCATTGAAAGGGTTCCAAAAGAAAGAAAATATTATTCATATGAAGTGCTATAAAGAAAAATGTCTACGGGCAAGTACTACACCAGCAACTCGGTGGCCTGGCCTGGAGCCTCCGAAATTGCGTTAGTATAGCACTCTTTGGTTTTTTTTTTCGGTTTTTTTAATTTTTTGTTTTTGTTTTTTTGTTTTTGTTTTTTCTTAGAGTGTTCTACAATTTTGTTCCTTGAACAGGCTCTGTCCTCGCCTGTTCCTTGCTGCATTAGCTTGTAATGTCAAGTCTCTGTTCGACCTCTGCGTAGTTCCCACGCACAAGCTGAACCAAACTGTCAACCACATCCATTGACAGCAGCAAACAAGCTATGTTGCAGGAGAAGGATGTCTCAAATTCATCAAAGTCAAGATAGTAGTGCCACGTAGTCTTCTTTTCAAACTCATCTACGTGAACGCACCGACTGATATCATCCAAGCTAAATGTGTTCGATACATTCAGCTCACAAAACTCATCGTATGTTTCCAAGAGTCGATCTCTTGTGGAAATGATTTGGTTCACTGTGTCCATGATCTTGGTAAACCTTGTCCTGAAGTTGCTCTCGAGGATGCCAAAGTCATCGTGAGTCTTCTGGTATTTGGCTTCCATATCGGCAACCATCGAGCCACAAGCATGGAGCTTTTCCAAAACTTGGCGGCAATCTTCGGTGTCTGCGTCTCGCAAGTTCTCGCTCAAGACCGAGATTTCAGTCTGTACTGCAGATCCCAGAGAGAACAACTCCCATTGAGTGTTCCTGGCAGCCAAAACATCTCTCGCCAACTGTTTGATCTGCTCGTTGCACGGGATAACTGCGGAGTTGATGGCCTCAAGAAAGTCAAGCCTGTATTTGCGGATGGATGCTGTCAATTGATGGGCCACCTCTGTGGAATTCGCTTCCGCAATCTGGGCCAATGCAGTCTCGAGCTCCACCAGGGACTCCAGCTCCGAGAGAAATGGGCCTGTGGATATCGCAGAAAGCTCCATATCTTGTTCCGACTCCATCTCAATCTCCCGGTTGTGTTCAAGAGCTAAGGAAGACTCGCAATCCGAAGAGAAATGGTCAGCCTCAGTTGCAAATCTGACTGTCCTTGCGCGAGACTGCAATGGCAAGTGGTCCTCTTCTTCAAAGTCAAGGAGCAAGAACTCTGTTTTCATCCAAGACTCCTCGTCGGTGTAAAGAAGGTCCCGGTAGTTCTCGACAGAATCCTCTTTCTTGTCACCCGCCGTGGTCTTATCGCTTGCATCCACAGAGCGTCTTGAGTCACTGGCAAGGTCGACTTTCTTGCTTGTGTCAAACACGAAAGGCTCTGAATCGTCGTCACAGGAATAGACCACAATACTCGCCTCCTCCTCTGGAGCCAGGCTCAGGAGCGGGGGGCGTTTACTGCCAGTCTGATCCATGGGCAGCAGTGGGCCGGAGCTAAAGTTCTCGACAAAGATCGACTTCCAGCAGCTTTCGGGTGAAGAAGTTGAAATTTGGCTGAGCAGTAAGTTCAGCAGGGCAGGCGACTCTGTGGCTGTGGCGTCTTCAGTCAAGCTGCGACGAGTATTATGCAAGGCTGGTTTATCCCGGTACTGAGGTTGCGCTTTGCAAACATCTTCCTTGTCCAATGCTGGAACAATGGACGCGGCATCCTCTCCAAGCAATCCGGAGAAATACTCACAAACCGAATCCCCAGCATCGGAATCATAGTCAGCCCAGGATTTGCTGATCTTGGAACATGGGTTGCACATACCAGACTCCATAACCAAAGATTCATCAGGCTTTGCGGGGCAAAGGTCTAAGATCGGTGCTTCTTTCTTACTCTCGGCTGAATGAGAATGAGGCTCGGACGATTCTTCGACAGGCAGTTGCAGAATTGCACTTTCCTGGACTTGGTTCACAAAAGAAGCAGAGCCTGTGTCTTGAATATGCAGCAGTGCCAGGATGGGCACCAGCTCCAAGGAATCCGAAGTTGCAAAACTCGTGGGTGCAACATTATTAGGCGTGCCATTCTGCAGAACATTTTCCTGGGGGCACGATTCTTGCGAATGTGCCGCTCCTTCGATCATCGGCACATCAGCCATCGAGATGGGGGTACTCAGGTTTGAAGCATCCTCGCCGGTTTCGAATTGGGATACCACGTCTTCGTTCACTTTGGAATGTCTTGCGTCTTCGCCGACAGCCGCACTGTTTTGTTCAAAGTCGAGTGCGACTTCTGCGCCAGCGAAAACAAAACCGAGCTCTGCATAAAACATGAGCTCGCTCTCCGGGCTCGCGATCGTTTGTTCCGCCGACAAGGGGCCTAACACTTCCACTATCGGAGTCTGCGCAAGGGCGCTTCTCTCTTGGGAATGCTCGGCATCGCAAACAGCAACAAGCCCAATTTCTGCACTGTCGCCGGCTTCAACGTCAATAGGCGACTTTTCTGAGGCAGCATTTCCACTTGTAGCACAGGAACCTGTAGCAGGTGACTCGACCCCGGACTTGGCGGAAATGCTCCTGCCAATTCCGGAGGCCATGTTGCCGCTCCCCGCAGCTTTTGCCGTAGCAATTTGCAAGAGTGGGCTTGGCAAATCAGAGAAAGGCCCGGGATTCTCTTCAACGAGGCTAGCTGTCTCGACGCTAGAAGAATCGTTCAATGAAGAGCCGATTCCAGCGGAGCCTGCGTCGCCATTGTTGATGAGCCCCTTGGCCGACAAATCTGCCAATTCCGCGGGATCCGGGGAGCAAGCCTCGGAGTCGTACACGGATTCCTGTTCTGTTTCCACCGACGAAATGTCTGAGTACTCGTATGACCAGTGGTCTTTGGCGGCAGGTGCAAAAACCTCCAGGTGTCTCAAGTTGCCGTGGGATGTGGAGAGGAACCTCAAGATCTTGTAGAGCACCACGCACATTTTGCCTGCCTTGCCGACCATGGCCTCGAGCATGATCTCGCCAGCAGAGTCGTACTTGCCGCCTCTTTGCTCGTAGAAGGCTTCGGACTCTGCATCGTCGTCGGCATCCATTTCTGTAGAATCCTCCCCGGCGGAGGAAAGTGAGTGAGAGTCGCCGGTCTGGGGGTCCTTCGTGGCAAAGTCCCTGGGGGCAGACTCCTCAATCAAATCCTCTTCCAAGTGCGCAGGCCAACGGGTCTCAGAAGCGGGGATGTATTGGGTCTCAGTTCCCACAGGGTTGGAGGGGGCCAGGGAGTCAAGAGTCCAGGCGCTCTTGGTTCTCTCTTGCAGGCCCCCAGTGCTTGGAATCTGCTCAAACACAAGTTCCATTTCTGACAAGAGAGGTGCACACTCTTCGGAGCTCGCCAGCACTTTGGTGAGGTTCTCAAGCCCAGACTTCAACCACTTTGGTCTGTGCGAGAATCTCTTCCTGAACTTGCCGAGCGACTTTCTGAAGCGCCTGTGTTGTTTGTGTTTTTCCCACTCCACAGAGAAGTCATCAGCGATGGACTCGGTGGGGGGCAAGCAGTGGCTATCATCGCAAAGAGCGCTGCCGGGGGAAACGGACCCAAGTCTCTGGTAGATGTATCCCGCTGAAGGCAAGCTCTCCGAAGAAATGCGGGAGATTTTGCCGGACTTTTTCCGGCCCGATAAGATCAACATGGGGACTGTTTGAAGTAGTAGGGGATTCACACTAACGGCCTAATCTAGAACCGAGAAGCAAATCTAGTAAGATTCGATTGGGGCAATTGGAATTGACGCTGATGGGGAGTGTCAATTGGGTTGCAGTACTGGTTTTTGGACACTGTGGTACAATGTTCGAAAAGCAGTGGGTGATGAAGATGGGTAGAATGGGGGTTTTCTGTTCGGGATTTCGGCGTCTTTTTTATATCGATTGCGAAATCTGGTCTGCTGTATTACGTATATGCTTGACCACAAAAAGGCCGGCAGCGACGTGCGGGCCAGGCACGGCCTATCGTGATATTTGTGACATGCCCATCTTTTTTCATCAAAATTTTCAGCCCTAAAAAAAGCGACTTTTATTCGGGAATAACAGGGATACTATCGGCAATCAATTAGTTTAATAAATACCTCTGTCCATGCGGCTGAATTTTGCAGCCGCTCCGGCACAAGGTAATGCGCCGGGTGGGGCCGCCGGATATTCTATGCGGCCTGGGGCCAAAAAGAAATACCCGGGCATTCTCGGCATAGAATAGTCGATTGGATCTTGTGTAGGCTACGATTTCTACAGTATATCTCAAGCTTCCTTCTTAAACCCTATCCGCCTGTGAAAAAAGTGACATTATTGTTCAGCCTCTACGTCAAGCCAATCGAGACACCCGTCAAATTTGACCACAGTCGCCTCACCTCGTGAATCTCCTGATGCATTTGACAATACACAAAAATAATCTGGGATAGCTCAGGGCGTTGAGATTCCAAAATCTTTGAATCGGCCAAAAAAAGACGGAGAACGAGATTCGTGGCAAAAGACAGACATACACCCAACAGGGACGTGCATCGCATCTGTGCTAGATGCATCTATAAAGCCTTCATGCGTCAGTCTGGCTAAAAACCTGAATGCATTCAGGAAAATCGACTGGAAGAAAAAGATATTGTTCTCTATTGCTGCCTTTACGGGTGCAGAATGGCGCTTTTTTTCCGTGGGTGAGTTCCACCGCTTGCGAACTGTCGCAACATTCGCCATCAAATACTTTTTTTCAAAATTAGATTATCAAAATTGCTTAGTAAAGTAAACCGAATGAGAATTCGATACTTGTGTGATGTTTCTTTGCTTCCCGCCAGTACCGTGATCTATCGTGGTGTACGGGCTTACTCGTGAATCTGACTTTCTAAGGCAGCTCCTACTTTCGAGACTCAGGCTTCAGCTACCTAAAACCCCGTCCGTCATGTATCTCTGTAGACTACGAAATCTGCTATTTCCTCGAGCCACAAACCATGGATTTAAAGACCTGCATCTTTTGCAACAAAAAGCAACATTATCAAATGTGCCATGCTTAAACATGTCCTTCACGAATCTGCTCTTGGGTAAATCTACGACTCTGACCAGCTCACCACCAAAGAAGAAACAAAAACAGAAGGCCATGCCGCCAAGACCATTATGGCTCATCAAAGAAGATGAACTAGAAGAGAAATTCATCAAAGGAGGCGGGCCAGGAGGACAAAAGATTAACAAGTCAAATATCAAGGTTCAAATCACTCACAAGCCAACAGGCATCGTGGTAAACTCGCAGGATCTGCGGAGCCAAGAGAAAAACCGAGCGAAAGCTCGCGAGATTTTGTCGTTGAAATTGGAGCAGATGCAAAATCCAGAGACTTGTAGACTAAACGTCCTTGCCGAAAAGAAAAGAGCAACGAAACGAAACCGAGCCAAAAAGGCCGCGAAGAAACATAAAAGGGGATCTGAAAAAAGTGATCCAGAACCTCACCCAGCAGATTCTGTTTTAAATGATGACTTCGATCTTGCACCTACAAATGAAGATGTATTACATGACATCGGCAAAAATGAGCATAATATAATATAGCATCAAACTGTTCCACTGAAGGATGCTCTATATCTCACATTGCTGGTAGATTGGTGTTTTGAGATGTGTGGCTCATATCAACAAAAAAGTGAAGATTGCAGGACATGAATCAAGTGTCAAGAGAAAGTTTTATGTCCAAAATTCCATGGATTTTGCACGGGACTGCACTTCTCACCACCGATATTCGGGAATCTCTCTTATTCAATTTGATTTTGATGCTCACTTATATGGAAATCAACGGAAGATTTTTCTGTCCTTTCGCAAATGTCTATTCCTTGACAGTCATAAGAGACGCTCAGCAAACTTATGTTGTATATGCCTTTTGTAAATCGTGTCATGACAGTTGTCTTAGGTCTACCAGTAATACGAGCGACTTGACTTTACCTCTTTCAATCCAATATCATCTAACTTGATTGATCAAAACCTTCTTTTTTTCAATTCTGGGTCAATAATTAATCAGCAAAACCTACTTTCTTTAGATGTGACATAATAAAGTAAACAGGTGTACTAATGTTAATGGTGTGAATACTTTTATTCAACACAAATACGATACTTTGAATCCTCAAGTTTCAAACGACTGGGCACTAAAAAAGTCATAAGCTCTCTTTTAGAATGAGGCTCGAAGAAGCTGAATTGTTCCATGATTTCTGTCTAACTTCGAGCTTTTACACTAGGATTATTCCTATCTTTTTGTTAAGCTTGGAAAATTAGGAGAAATAGGAGCACTTACATCTTATCATGTAATCATAAAGTCAGGTACGAAGTATCCTTGAGAGAGACTTCTGGCGATTCAGAAAGATTCAGTTTCATCCATTTTGTGTAGACACATTAGTATTGAAAAGTATATGGCCTGATCCTGCCCTCTTTTTAAGTAGTGATACAGTCATTTGCCAATTTTTGACAAAAACGAATTTGTATTTTGTCTAGTTAAAATGGAATATGCTTTAGGTCTATATGTCTTTGAAAACTGATCTTAGAGGTTCTGAACCCAAATTCGATAAAGCTTTCCCGCTGTTGTCTCGAATATATTATCCATGTTAACATAATGATGTAATTGATTTTGGCTGGTAAAGTACTTTGCACCACCAGTCGAGATAAATGTGAAGTTTGAACTCTCAGATGATGAAAGTCTCACAATGAAAAATTATGGGAGCAAGGGAATCTTGATATAAATAAGATAAATGAGACCCGCTCTTCCTTAGGCGATTGTCTTTATGCAGCCCCAAAATATGAAAGCTGGTTTTTCTTCTTCCAAGTTCACAATGGTTCACAAGGTGTAGTTCAAAAAGAAGTCCTGCCCGAAGTGGCAGCAAGACGTAATCCAAAAGTTCCAATATCTTATTCGTTACCATTTGGAGGGTTGCGGCAATATAACAGAGGCTCGATGTGAGCGTATGTGATAACTCACAAACAATTCCAATTACATGTAACTTTTCACGACCGCTCAAATCTTATACCCTAAAAGTCGTTTTTGTTCGTTGCAACAAAGCTTTCGTCACCAATGCATTCATTAGCCTAAGAAATGCCGGTACGAATACAACAAGTGTTCCAAGGGCTCTTTTTAGAGGGAAAGTAAAGATTAGATTATATTTTTTATTAAATATAGTGCTGTACTTGAAGATCTCTCGCTTTATAGAAGGGATTTGGCTGTCATGATCAAGATTGCTGTCTGTTTTTTGAAGAAAAAAGGGTATAGAGGTCTGATCTCAAGTGGTGACTCCTTAATACCTGTTGTATTGTATAGCCTTAGTTGTTCATGGCTTGCTTGGTACTGAAGTGATATCACGAATCATAGTTATGTCTGGCCCACCAAAAACCTTGCTTTAGACAAATGACCTGCTCTTCGCGATATTTCCTTGATGTGCAATCAAATATGTTTTCTTGGGCGGTCTTTTTGGAGATGCCATTGGGGGAACGGATGGCGACGCTTTTGTGACTTTCGCCAGACAAGTAAGTGCATCAGCATCCATATCAGCTTCTTCGATGGAATCTCTGCAATGTCGGGTTTCTTACTAATAACGAATCAAAAATACGTGTGAGCCACTATTTCTGATTGGATTTTTATGCTTCAACCTGGCCCATACCTTAGATAAAAGGTTCCATGCGTCTGAAACTGAAGAACAATTGACATAAAGATAGCGGCACAAGGATGTGAGCTTCACCGAAAGCCAAATGAGAAAGTAATAGGGACACTTCCGCTGAGTTTTACTAGTAATAAGTGCCAAAATTTGAGGAACCTGTGGATGCAAGGTCATTTTGTGTTCTGTGGTTTGAAAAACGCTGAGAGAAAAAGGCATTGTTCACAAAGCCAGCTCGCTTTTGAGTAAAAAAATTTAAGGTCGGGAGAACACAAAATTGATGGCTAAATTCTGCCTGCGCGGTTTTGCAATGCTTTGTAAATTGTTCCATGCTCGAGGCAAGATCAAGATACGGATCGAACATTTGTATAGTACGCAAAAGCAATTGGCACTTTGGATCTTTGGAAATAGTCGGCACGTAGTGAACTGCATGGCAGTATTCCTGAAGTTTTTTTTGTATCTGTAGGCAATCGCTCTTTGAGACCCGCTCAACAACCAACTCCAAACGGGGATTAGTGGATTACGCTTATGCACTGCAGCAGACGTAGAAAACATGGGGACTCGGGCAGATGAAACAGTGAGGCTCAAGAGGATTTTGATCTCATGGAAAAGCACAGATATAAGAAGGCCTAAGAAATGCACACTTACGGCAACCACAAATCCACCAAAATACCGCTGTTTCTTCGTCGTACTGTTCCATCACCTTGTCTTTCCTCTACCGTGGTTCCATTCAAGCTTCCTTCTTGTGTCTCCGCCACTCTTCTAATGCCTTCAAGGCGTCCTGCAAGCTGCTCGACAATTGTCTGTTTTCCTCCGCGAGTAAGTCCATTTTGTCCAGGCGTCTCTGGTCATCGAAGGTTCTGCTCTCAAGCAGGCTGTTCACGGCCATGTCCACCAAGGTGGCTATGGCGTCGTAGTTATTGTATACGCCTCGTAGAAGCGGTGCAGAGGAAAGCTCAAAAGGCACCACCTCCTCGTTTGTTTCAGCCGAAATGAACTGGACATCAATGAACTCAGCGGGGCTAGCGAGATCAGGTCCGTTTTCCCGGCGAACGTTCTCTGGGCGGATACTGGCGTTCACCTTTTCCACGTAGGCAGTAAGGGCACGTGTGAGTTTGGCGAACTTGCCGTTTTCGTTCATGAGCTGCTCGATGACCTCCAGGAGTTGCGTGGCAATGCCCTCGTACTCGTTTTTGGCAATCTCGGATGTTTCCGGCGATTTGTGCATCAAGGGCCGCGGCTCTGTGTTGTTGACCGACGGTTTATTGCCGTGCACCAAGTGGGGATTTGGATCAGGCTCGGGGGTCGAAGCATGGCTCTGGACACTCCCAAATTTCATCGGCCGGCCGTATGAAATGGCCGTTGATAGCCCTCGGGAGTGCAAGAGGGCGGATTTGAGCTCGGAACTCTCGAGAGCCATGCGCCTTCGCTCCACTTCATACTTGCTGCGGAGCTCGCAGTTGAGGTTTTTGAGGCGCAGGATCTCGCGGGTTTGGGCCCTGGTTCTTTTTTCCAACTGCTCATTGAGCTGTGTGAGCGTGGCCAAGTCGGTGTGGAGGACCCGGGCGAGTTTCTTTTCGCATGCTGATGTCTCCAGCTCTGCCCGGTGCAATTTGCGCTGTAGCCTTGCGATTTCGGTCTCTTTTTCGGCCAACACCTGGTTGGACGCCTCGTGCTGGCGGTTATGCTTGTCGATGCTCTGGACAAGAGAATAAATGGCGTTGACCACGTTCTTGTCATTGTTATAGATGCCTTCCTGCACCGTGAGCGTCTCCAAGGCTTTCTTGTCGGGCTGGTCGCTTATTAGCTCTGCCCAATTTGTGGTGACAAATTTGAGGTCCTCGCTGATGTGGCCTTTCGTCACGAGCGTAGAATTTATAAGCTCGGCAGCGTTTCGGATGGTCTCTACGTTGAGATAAGCAGGCATCTCAGGTTGCGAAAGAGACGAGGTGGGCCGAGTGGAGTTATGAAATTGAGGATATTTGTGTTGACACGGCGCAGAGATTTGGGACGCAAAGAGAAATCAACTGTTTTCTGTTGTTCGGCTGTATGTGCAGCAATGGTGGTATGAGCCAGTGTCTGACCGAATCTGGTGGATGGTGTTTTGATCATGGCTAGTGACGCGAAACCTTGAAGACGCGCACTGATCGTCTGACGATAGACCGCAGATCTTCCAGCAACGCCAACTATATCTCGTTGACTGGATTAATTGTAGTGATTCTGACGGCGTTGAAGTGATGAGATGGGCCCATGGTGGATTTGCATGCGGACTTTACGATATTCAAATGCAGCTTGTAATACGGAGAGACTGATGGTGCATATGGTGGAATCGTCGTAAATCTGGTGGAACCAAGGTAATCTAATGGCATCATAGAAAGACCACTGGGACCCTGGCAAAATCAATGGGCCATGGGAAATCTAAAACACATCTATGGCTGCACGAATCATATGGTATCGTAGAAAACTTGATTTATCACTGGTAATTCAAGGGTTCCATGGTGGAGCTAGTGCTTCATGGTGAATCTGAGGGATCACAAATCTCCAATTGACTCAGCCAAACGGTAGCACGAAAAATCCAATGGTTCTAACAACCACTAAATTTCAGTCTAAATTGCAGTGGAATTTCAAACGGGAGAACGGTGGATCGTATCAATGCATGCTAGGAAGCCTGAACATAGTGATGCCGACTGTATGGCAAGCCCATTCCACTGTACTAAGTGGTGCCTCCCAGTTCAAGAGAAACCAGTCTGTTTCAAACAAAGCAAAGTTCCAGTCATGCAACCACTCAAACTACCGCATAGGAACACGCGTCTGGTATACCGGTCCAGTTGTGCCTCAGCTTAGAATGTGGAAAACAAGAATAAGTGAGTGCCACCGGCAAGCCCTGGGTAGCCAAAGACGTGCAAGAGTCAAAGCCCTCAAAATGAATGACCAGACCTTTGCAGTCATGATCAGCACAGACATCGGGTACTCTTGCCGGACATGAACGCCGAACCCCGCACCGGCTGTCCCGAATACTCTCTACAACAGTCCGACTTTGGCGGGCCTACAGTGGGGCCCAAGGCAATCAGGTCAGCAGTGAAGAATTTTATTGGTGTTTCGGGAGCACGCAGCCCCCGGGAATATTGCTCTGTGGAAGAGACACGGTTTACTTATATGTTCTATGCAAAGAAGTGGCAGCGACACGGCGCACTTCCTGTTTGCCGGCCGGCTGCTAGCCAACCGCTTAGTGGTGCTCGGCCTCGGCCTCCTCGAAAACAAACCAGTCCTCCTCGGCCGCTGGCGCAGCCTCGGTGGATGGCGCCGAGGTGGTCTCAACAGCAGCCGACTCGTAAGCGGACACGGCATCGGCGCTGACCTCCTCCGAAGGAACGGCAGGCTTGGAAGGCAACTGGAACTTCTTGATGCCCTCGGCACCCTCGGCAGAAGTCTGTGTTGGCTTGAACTGCTTGATCTGAGACACGTACAAGTCAGAGACCAAGTTGGATCTCTGTGGGGTCACAGAGAACAATCTTCTGGAGGACAAAGCACGCTGTGTTGTTAGTAAGGGCTGGGGGACGAAGGGAGATGACGAGGGGGTCACGGATCCGGGCCAGAATATGTCATGAGGCCTGAGGTATGAGCGTTTTTCGGCTCGTCGTGATGGGTGTGATAACCGTATTTGGGCTTGGTGTGATAACTGATTCAGGCTCGACCCGTTGGGAGCCGGCTCCACAATGCAGAATGTCCACAGGCACGGTCTGTTTTCCCGGTAGCCGCCGAATGTGGAGGCGCAGAAATCTAGCACAGGCACACGTTCCATCAGGCAAAAATGGCAATAGAAACCAGCGGCCCCCTTTGGCCCCCTTTGCCCCTTTTTGCGTGGATCCCGGCCCCATGGCTGGGCGCATATCGAGGGTCGAAAGCATTGCCTTTTCGGTATAGTAACTCGGCTCCGGAGAGAAAACACATGTGATTATCACGCCGTGCCCGGACAGGCTCCAGGGACACGTGCACATGACTGGGCGGTACATACAATCGATTGCTTGAACATGATCCTTGGTTGGTGTGGGTATTTGGCGAGGGGAGCCGAGGGTTGAGGTTGGTGCTTAGACTTTTGTCTTCACCGAGCTTCGGGGGCGTGCGAGCCTCAGGAAACTGGCGAGGCCTGCGGCAAAGACACGCTATTGGCCAGCAGCGCGAGCAGACATGGCCCTGGAGGCCGGTCACGTGACCGGGCGCTGTCTGCTGGTGGTCCCCGGCTCCCGAAAAGCAAGGGCACGGCGGGCGGCGAAGACCGGGTTTGCTTCTTGCAGATCCCGGCTTTAGAAGAATCTTTTTTTTTTCTGTTGATATTTGTGCTGGTCCGTTTTTTTTCTTGCCTCTGTTGATTAAATCTGCGGGCGCCGTTCGGATCTCAGCTGCGAAGGAGAGCACTGGAAACCAGATTGGGGCCAGGCGTGGGCCAAGAAGATACATGCGGTTCAATGGCACGTCTGTCTAATTGAAGTCGTGTTTATTTTTGTTGATTCTCGAAGCCTGATTCCGGTTTAGCGTCGATTTTGACCTTCGTCCCCAAAATTTCCCATCGTGACCAAATTACCAAATTGGCCCTCTGCACCAATTTTGGCCTCGGAACAAGTAGATACATAGTATGCGGACGTCCTTCAATAAAATGTCTGTTCAAGGAAGCTCATGTTTTTTTTTTTTGTTCCTCGGAGATTCCGATTTGGCATACATTTTGGCTTTTGTCACCAAATTTCCCCATCGTTACCAAATTTCCCTCTCTGCACCAATTTTGGCCTCGGAACAGTATACTGACGTCCATTCAATGGCACGTCTGTCCGATTGAAGTCGTGTCTTTTTTTCGGATTCTGATTTTTATTTAGCATCGATTTTGGCTTTTGTCACCAAATTTCCCCATCGTTACCAAATTTCCCTCTCTGCACCAATTTTGGCTTCGGAACAAGTAGATACATAGTATGCGGACGTCCTTCAATAAAATGTCTGTCCGATTGAAGTCGTGTCTTTTCTTTTCGAATTCTGATTCCGATTTGCCACCGGTTTTGGCCTTCGCCACCAAATTTCCGTCACCAAATTTCCGTCACCAAATTGGCCCTCTGCACAATCTCCAGACTCCGGCACGGTCCTGTGTGCGGCCACCATCTCTCACCTCATACATCCAAGAGACTGCCCAAAACAGCCTCTTCTCTGTAGATTCAACCACACACGCCCCGCCCCCACGCCGCAATGCCAAAGTACTACTGTGACTACTGCAAGTCGTATCTCACGCACGACAAGATGTCGGTCCGGAAGTCGCATTTGTCGGGCCGGAACCACATCAAGTTCTACTGCTCGTACTACGAGGAAAAAGCCAAGCAGCTTGGGATCTGGGACTCCAGCGAAAGTAAGTACCAAATCGACCTTGAGTATCTTACCAGCCAGGAGCCGTCGCCCGACAATTTCGCCAGGGAAGTTGTTCGCGAGAGAGAGAAGTCGACCGTGAGACGCACGGATGATATGGCCGAGGAGGTGTGTCTTCCGCCGCCGCCCAACTTGTCCAAATTGGCGCCGCCGCCGCCGTCTGTTTTGAGGCTCACGGCAGAACACAGCCACCTGATTTCCGTAAACATGGCCCGGCAGGAATACCGGTTCTAGCCGGGCACAACCCCGCCGTTTGGGGAGAAGATCTACGCAGTACATAATGAATCACGACCACCGATAAAAAAGGCCCGTGGGGACCCACAGGCGCCAGCTCTCGACGGCCCTGTATGAACCGGGGGCTCCTTGGAAGTCTGCCCTTTCCGGAGGACTTCTTCCAGGAGTCTGCCCCTAAATTCTGGCGCTTCCACAGGGCTTCTTCCAGAAGTCTGCCCCTAAATTCTGGCGCTTCCACAGGGTTCTTCCAAGTCTGCCAGCGAGGCTTCTGAGACGCCACTACAGCGGGGCTCTTCCCCCACCTACAGCGAGCTTAGGCGGCCGGTGTTTTATGTATATACTCTACTAAACACAAGCCATGCATACGACAGGCGGTTTGGGGTGAACCAAGTCAGCGGATCCGGGGCGCTGCTCAGCCACTCACAAGTCGTCGTCATCCTCATCGGGCAAAGGCAACGCACTGGCTTGGTCCATCTCCTGCTGGTATTTTTGCATCATGGCACTGTCGACCTGCACCTCGGGAGGCGCCAAGGCAGGGGTGGCCACAAACTCCAATTGCGGGTTGCCCACCAACTTCCGCGCCAACCAAAGGAAAGGCTTCTCGAAGTTGTAGTTGGACTTGGCGGAAATATCGTAGTACTGCAAGTTCTTCTTTCTGTGGAAGGTGATGGTTCTGGCCTTGACCTTGCGCTCCTTGACATCGACCTTGTTGCCGCACAACACAATCGGGATGTTCTCGCACACCCTGACCAAGTCTCTGTGCCAGTTGGGCACGTTCTTGTACGTGATTCTCGAGGTCACGTCGAACATGATGATACCGCACTGGCCGTTGATGTAGTAGCCGTCTCTCAAGCCACCGAATTTTTCTTGGCCGGCAGTGTCCCACACGTCGAACTTCAACTCACCGTAGTTGGTGTGGAACCCCAAAGGATGCACCTCAACTCCCAAGGTGGCAATGTATTTTTTCTCAAACTCACCGGTCAAGTGTCTCTTGACAAAGGTGGTCTTTCCGGTACCGCCGTCGCCGACGAGCACCAACTTGAATGTAGGAACTTCAGTAGTAGCCATTTTCTGGAACGAGGTGTGGCAGTTTCTGATTGGGTACTGGATCACAGGAAAACAACAGCAAGTTAGGAGCTCGAAAAACGAGCGAGGGAAAAAACTGGTCGCCAGTGCGATGACCTGCAGGCGCCGCCCCTTTGCTGCGAGCCTCCTCTAGTCCTGCAGGCGCGCCCGTTCCAAGCACCCCGTTTTTTCGAAGGCCCGGTGGTTTTGGGTCCGGGCAGCCTGTTTGGTGCTGTGTTGTTGGCTTTGCAGATCGGGGCAGCTTGGTGTGGCTGGGCTGTTTTTGGTTGCTTTTGTTGTCCGTGGCGTGCTGGTTGTTTATGCTTGTTTGTTTTTTTCTCGATAGAGTGCGAAGTCGCTAGCAGCGTGATACGGCAAGACAAGAATTCGACGGAAGATTGCCGCGGCTCTCGGCCTGCCTTATTACGACAGATACGCGGAGACAGAATGGTGCAGCTGATATAAACAGACAGCGGCCGAAATGTAGGCATGGCCAGCCGTGGAGCTGGCAGAGCAAGAAAAAAAAAAACAGACAAAACAAGAAAAGATAACAAAAAAGACAACAAAAAAGACAACAAAAAAGACAACAAAAAATACAACAAAAAATACAACAAAAACAGACAACAAAAACAGACAACAAAAACAGACAGGCACGGGTCCACTGCTGGGCTCGTGTCTTGAGCCTAATCTTGTTGTACCAGACTGACTAGGCATTACTGTGTGCGCACTTTCGGGGGGCCGCGTAAACTGCGCTTATACGCCTGAACAGCATAGCGATCTGGAAATCATATGTTGGAGATTCCAGCAGATACCGCTACCGACTATATCCTTTCGAGCCGCAGGGCCTGAGTTCAATGTTGAAACACACGCTTGCTCGTAAATGGACACGTGTTTTCCGCAAGCTCCCTGCGTCGGGTAGTGGCTGCCGTCCCCCTATTCATTCAATACTACTATGCTGACAAGTAGACGTGTCTTCTGACTTCCCAGTAGTTTTCTAATTCCTTTTCTCGCCGATCAGTCCAGACTCACGCCAGTAGATTTTTTTAAACCTTTTTCTCGCCCATCAGTCCACGTGTGCTGTTTTCAAGACCGGGCAAATAAGAATGTACACATTTGCATACCAAGAGGCGTGGGCAATATAGTTGAACAAGCCACTGTGGACGAGAATGCGGCCTTTTCCCTCACCACGTCGAGTCTTCCAGTCTTCCAAATTCCGCTGGCCAAAATACACCCAGTAAAAGATGGGCTTTGGGAGCCTCTTGCCTCGATGGAAACCTCTTTGTGGGTGTTGTATGCTCACTTGATATAAGGAGTATCTTTGGCTAATTGCTTCTGGCGAATATCAGTTTTGAACATATAGAAGCCCCAATTAGGGATCATTGTCATCCTCTTTTGAGTCCCTTAATATGAGGGGGTCTTTTGAAATGTCAGCCCACGATTAAGCAGGTCTTCACCGTGAAGTTAGGCAGCTTTAGTGGGGCCCTAATTTGGTTTTGAGCCATGAATCAGGGAGAACTTTGAATTTTGTGAACGCCAATCTAGTAAATTACTGGGCTTCAAAACTCAAAAATCAGCGAACGCTTCCTTGTGTTTCCAGTGACCAATACAGCTGCATACTATTAGACGTTTCGAAGCACTCAAAATGCTGAACTGAGTTTCAGACACTCAGCAAACAGAGGACGTTTTAGTGAGCCATCAAGATGCTGATTCCAAGTTAGGCTCTTCTGGTTGAAGCCAAATCACTCCTGAACAAATGAGATGATGAACCCAAGTTGAAGGTTGAACGGCTGTGAATTGTTTCGCAGACAGTTTACATAACTGAAAAAAAAAAATCGACTTCGAACAATCTTGTTAATCAGTTCAATGGCGTCACATGGTTCACGCTTTTTGAACTTCTTTGAAAAACTTGTTTGCACTTTCTCATTTCTAAAACATGATAGTTCCAGGGTCTTGGCCTTGCAAGAGCCCGGCGTACAGTGATTTTAAGTTCGGTGGGCGAAGCTCATTTTGATCAACCTTCCTGTCACCTGGAATCAAGAATAGTGAAGCTGTTCCCATCATCTTTCTACAATTCCAGATGCGGCCTCTTGAATATAACTTTTGCCACCTCTTGAGCCCAGCCAATCTCCCAGATTCAGGACGATAAATTCAAAGAGTTTGAAATTTGGTCTAATTGACTCAGACTTCAGAAATACCTCGCGAAATATTGTCCAAGGCTTCAAGTTTGTATCGGCCACCAACTCATGCATTATTCGAACGCCCAATTATTATTTTGCTTGAACTTCAAAAAAAGCCTGTCTCTTCAGAAGCTCAAATGATGTTGACTTCTTTGTAATTGTTCTTTTTACTCATGGGCACGTATCAGCTCTTGGCTGCTATATTCCTATGAGTTGGCGCTAGAATCCGTCTAGTACCCAACTCTAAAACCCTTTTTGCGAATGTGGCAAAGGTGAATGAGCATAAAGGCTTCTGCGCGAAAGTCATGGACTGAATGAAAAGACACATTCATAGCGCCCTCCCTTACACCAAAGTAGACCAGCATGCATACGGTTTCTGGGTGATCTTCACGAAACGCGCAACGTCGTTGGTTTATTGTAGGTTTTGAATCGAATGAGGCTTATTTATCGGCGCATACTGCTAGATGTACATCTGAGAGAAACATGAGGCGTGTTGAACATGTCAGGTCTCAGAGCATTCTGTCGAAATAAAGACAGAAATATAGGGACATTTTTGGGACAGTAAACTCACACTAAAAACCCGTAGAAAAAAGCGCTGTGGGAATCTCTTTTTTCGAATTTCCACAACCGGTATGCACTAACAGTAGCGCATGAGCCAGGCAATCAGAATAATCGCACACATCCAAATGTAGCGGGCCCTATCGCAGGAGCCTATATGGCAAGTCACAACCGCTGGGAGGTGTGTATCCTGGTGACGCGCATATACAGTGTATTCCTGAACGCAAGACCTAGCCTAGTTCCACAACGGTTAATCTGTGCTAATCTAAACCGTGCCGAGCGACGTGCCTGTGTATATAACTAGCCCACAACAATAGCACATGGTCCACTTTTCCAGAGCGGCACCTGAGAATACCGCTGCAACTATGTGGGACAATACGCCCAGGTTTTGAGGGGGCCATGGGCTTTGAACCGTGGATACCTTGCGGCCCTTGGCACTTGGCATACACAGGACGAGTATTTCATGTGGGCATGACTATATGCTTCAAGGACTCATTTTCGATAGGGCTCATTTTCGATAGCCACGGATGGTCGGAGGACTGAGGCAGGGCTGTTGCGGGTGGTCGTTTGGGTCCACCAGACTGGATGATTAGTTGCGGGATGCATGGAAGCTTTGGCGGGCTGGACGCGCATAGAGACGAAATGCCCACAAGCGTCTGCAGCGCCAGAAAAATCCAAGCCCATGGTCTAAGGTACGCACGGAGAGATTTTTATCCAGGCCGGATTCTGACGGGCCGCGGCGGGCCGCGTTTTCCAGCAGCTTTCGGGTGTGTCCGTATCCACTGCTGCATCAGCAAATTAAGCTTCGGGGCCAGGGGAGCGAAGAGCAAGAATCCCTGTATCCAGCCCAAAAGCCTCTTTTTTCTGCCAACCCTCTTTTCAATCGTGAGGGGGTTTGGGCCTCCTTTTTAGAGCCCTCACTACAGGAAAAGCAGCGGACAATAGAACTCTTTTTACAAACAAACAGGCTGGGTTGGTTCTGCATGGGTGCCTAAACGCGGCCACCGAAGATGTGCTAAGAAATACGTGCTTCAATGCGAGCTTTAAAACGACTGGGCTTGGAACGACTGGGCTTGGAACGACTGGGCTTGCTAAAAAAAGGAATGCCCAGGCTCGTTCCGCATACGGCAAGGGCTTGGGTCCGCTGGAGCGGCCTTCGTCCAATGGCATGCTTGTTATTCTTGCCTCACGCCAAATCGCCGGAGGCAGGTATAAGCGAAGCAGCGAACGAAAAATTGCGGCGCAGTTGGCGCGCGTTGATCTTAGTGCTTGCAGTGGAACAAACCCGCGGCGCCAATAGGCCCGAGCCGCTTTTTCGGCTGGGGCTGCTGTGAGCAGGGCTGCCACAACGGGGGCCTGCGAGCTTACGCCCTAGGGTTTTCTGATGTGGCGGTGCCTGTGGTGGTCCCTGTCTGTGGGAATATTATGTGGGATTATTATGTGGGAATATTATGTGGGATTATTATGTGGGATTATTATGTGGGATTATTATGTGGGATTATTATGTGGGATTATTATGTGGGGCGGGCTCCTGGGATTTTGGTGTGGACGTGGGGCGAGATGGTGGTGTGGAATTCGGGGCCATGGATTGTTGGTGTGGAGGGCCATGACTCTGTGGGTTTTGGGCCCTCCGATTTCTTGGTTCTCCAGGTGCCGGCCAGAGTGGGGCCACGAATGAAAAGCCGGGCGCGCAACAATAGGTTTGTGGGCCAAGAAGGCAGTGGCATGAATTTGGGAAATGATTCATGGGCAGCAACACAACCGGGACAGAACAGAACAGAAACGTAGAAACAAGCAAACAAAAATAGCCCGAGACAGCCCGAAGCGAAACGCGTAATGCTAATTTGAAACGAGTATTACAAAATCGAAACGGAACCAAACAACACAATACAATACAACACAATACAATTCAACACAATACAATTCAACACAATACAATTCAACACAATACAATACAATACACTTCAATACAAAAACAAACCGAACCAATCGAACCAACCGAGACAATACCTCCACATACCGCAAAACAAGATCGTGGATAGAGAACGGAGAAGCCCAAAAAAAAAAATCATTCACCCGGCACATGAAAACCATCTGCTCGCCCCAGTGGTGTGGGCCCAGGCGGCCCAACGCGCCAAGCCTGCCGGGGCCACTTCCAGCCTCCTCAAATGGCGCTGTCTTGGTGCCGGCCGTGTTTGCCCAAGGTGCGCACAAACAGGTGTGTCTGTATGCAGTGCGCTTCCATCTCCAGCTGGCGCGCAGCACCAGGCACATAGAGCCGAGCCGGCACGCGCGCCTCGTGCCCTTTTTGAGCCAGGCTTTTCTTCCTCTTTCGCTGGACTTTCTGGGTGCCCCCTCGAAAAACAAAAAAAAAAACACTCTCTTCTTTCTGACCTCTGTAGTCTACTTTTGATCGCTGGCCACCTTCCCTGTTCCCGGGCCGACTCTTCGCTTACTTTGCATCCTCGCTGGTCCTGCCATATCGCTGCGCCCGCCAGCCGTCCCGCTGATCCTACGTCTCGTCTCAGCCCCATACGTCCGCAGGCACAAAGGCCGGACCAAAAGTTACACCAGGCCCCACCCAAACGCTGGGAAGAACTGGCGCCTCGTTTCGGGACAAAGCTGGCAAAACCGCCAAAACTGCCAGGACCGCCAAAACCGCCAGGACCGCCCGCAGCCCCCTATTTCGGCAAGCCGCTGGGAAATTCACTAGGCACAACCGCGCAGCCCGAATCTGAGAAACCGAGCTCCAACGCGGGCCCCTCCCTGTGCCCGAACTTTTAGCGCCGGATCTGAGCACCGACTTCCGCAAGTCTAGCACCGAATTCTGGCACCGCATTTCTGCACCAAATCATAGCGTCCGCCTTGACGACCATTTCTGGCCCCCTCTGAGTTCCAGACCCATTTCTGCCCGCACTGTCAGACCATTTCTGCCCACACTGTCAGACCCATTTCTGCCCACACCAATTTCTGGCCCCACTGTCAAACCCATTTCTGGCCAGACCCCTCTCTGACACTGTCAGACCACTCAGACCGCCCCCGGCCCCTAGGCACTGAAACCCTGAAACCCCAACGTATATCCCCACAATGTACCTGGCTCACCCCAACTTCCGCAAACAGGCGCTACAGTACCACGAGCTGCTCCACGGCCAGATGTACGCGGCACAGGTGCCGCAGCAGGTGCAACTTCCCATGTCGCCCATGGACTACTCCTACTCACAGCTGATGCTCCCCGCCAATCTCCTCGCCACGCCGTCGCCATACGTGTCACACTCGTCGTTTGCACAAGTGTTCCAGCCCCCGGCGCTGCCGTTTGTTGCGTCGCCGGGCGGCTTTTCTGCGGGCCCGGGCGCTGCGGCCCGGACCTACTCCCAGCCGTCCTTGCTGCTGCACGCGTCGCTCGAGCACCTCAGCTTCTCGCGCACGGTGCTCTTGACGGGTCTCTCGGCGGCACTCAGCGTGCGCGAGATCTTGGACCACATTGACCACGGGCCCCTTGAGGCTGTGACTTTGACCCCGGAGGACACGCGCTTGAGGGAGGCGACGGGTCCGTGGGAGTCCACTTCCTCGGAAACCGCTCCCTCGGAGTCCACTTTCTCGGAAATCGCTCCCTCGGAGTCCACTTTCTCGGAAATCGCTCCCTCAGAGACCACTCCGTCGAAAACCGCTCCCTCGGAGACTACTGGAACCGCGGCTCACAACGCGGCGCCCAAAGACGCGACCCAGTCGTGTGCGTTGTCCTTTGTCAACACGTACATCTCGTACAACTTCCACCAGAAGTACGCCAAGTCTCCCGGCCACTTGAAGACATTGCGCAGCGCCTTGGCGGGCTCGGCTCGTCTCCAGATCGCGGCCCCGAACCCCGCGAGCCTGGACGTCATGCGCGTCAAAACACTCAACTACATCATGGAGTTCAACGCCACGCGTGCGCTCGGCGCCGTCTTCCGCATCCTAGACCCGGACCTTGTGCCGTTGATGGAGAAGGCCTTCCGCGTGCGCGCCGCGCGCTTCGGCTCCATCGAGCACATTGTCGTGTCCGAAGATGGCGATGTCCTGGAGTTGGAGTTCGTGGTGCACTTCACCTGCATCGACGCCGCCATCGGCTTGTACGAGCACTACTCATCGCGCATCGCCTCGGCCTCTCCTGGTGTGGCGCCTCCAGACGACGACCGCGATGACCTCGTGCAGCTAGCGTGCCTTGCTGTGACCTTCCAGCCCGACCGTTGCGACCGCACGCCGCTCTTCTACACCCGCCAGCCGCGCCTGGCGACTCGCTTGCCGCTGTCCGATGCCGGCCTGCTCGTCCTGGTGCTTTCTGAACAGAAACGGCCTCTGGCGCTGCATGGGCCGCGCTTCCCACTCCACAGTATGTCGCAGCTCAGTCTTGTCGGCAGAGCCTCGCCGCCCGGCTTCAAGGCCATGGATGAGGCATCGCATCACTCAAGCGAGGCCGTGGACCCGCACGCCGGCGGTCCCTCGCGCTCCGTGGGTTCTGCCGGTAGCCACTTTGGGTCCGACGACTCGTGCCCGCCCTCGCTTAACATGGGACCCACGGAATACTTTCCCGACCAGAGCTTTGACTCCGTGCATTCCAGCTTTGCGCCAGACTCTTATCTCCACGGGCCGCCTGGTCCGTATCTGGGGGGCGTGAATGCACCGTACGTCTCGCGGCGTCTGCGCAACCATCGCTCGGACTCGCTCAGCTCATGCAATAGGACAATCTACTTGGGCAACCTCCACCCAAAGACCACAGTCGAGGAGATTGCCAATAACGTGCGTGCCGGCGGGTTGGTCGAACTCATCAAGCACTACCAAAGCAGACGTGTGTGCTTCATCACATTCGTCGATCCTGCCGTCGCGCTCAAATTCTACTTGAGCTATCAGGTCTTGCACCAATTGGTGATTCGCGATAGTGAAATCACCGTCAATTGGGGTCAGGTCCACTCGGGACCCTTGCCCCGCAAAATAGCGTGTGCGGTGTCTTCCGGGGCATCCCGAAATGTGTACATTGGATTCCGCATGGGTAGGCAGGGGCCTCCTGACTTGAAGATCCCCGACGAGTCGACATTACGAAGAGACTTTTCCAAGTTTGGTCCTATGGAACAAATCAACCACCTCCGCAAGAAGGATTGTGGCTTCATGAACTTCCTCGATATCTCCGATGCCATTGAAGTGGTCGAGTGCTTCGACATGCGGGACGCGACAAGAATCAGCGCCATTGTAGGTGACGAGGGTCAGTTCTACGAAAAGTATCGTCACTTCAAGATTAGCTACGGTAAAGACCGGTGCGGCAACGCTCTCAAGTTTAGTTACGTGAAGCGCGACAAGGTGCCCGAGACGTCAGCACGCCCTGCCTCTGGAAAAGGGTCAAGCAATAACATCACCTCGCATAAGAAAGTGGACTCCATTGATGAGGAAGCTGCATATGTGTTTGGTATTAGTACCAATGCTGTCCATGAGTGCAAATCATCTCTTTCAATGAACGCCTTTGCTGAAAGTACCATGATTCAAGATGATGATAGTGCGACTTCGCCGGAGCCCGATAAGGCTGCAGATGAGAAACCTCGCTTGTCTCCTTCCAGGCCAGAGAACACCGGTAGGCAAGAAAGCCAGAATGGCGGGAGCACGGCTATGCTGGAGGCCGCGCCTGGATTTGATGGTAGAGACCCGGATGATCATTTATATGAGAATGACGATGAAGAAGAAGAAGACGACGATGACATATCCATCATCATCAATCCTGAAGTTGATGACCCCTCGTTCCTGGGCAGGAAGAAACCATCGAGGAAAAAGCCGCAGAAAATCTACCACAATAATTTCGAGCTTTCAGATTTGCTCAATGCTGCGTTCAGTGCCAACGCAGCCTCCGTTGAAAGCTTCTCTCCAAACAACAGCTTCACCCAACTCCCGCATGGGGCTTCCGTGTATGGAATGCCCCACCGCCCTCCCATTGCTCCAATGCAACATCTTAGGCATCATCCCGGGGAACTTTCTTTTGCGCCGTCTCCTCCACTACAAGGCGGTGTATATGGACACGGGGCTCCTTATGGCTCGGGGTCCCAAGTGATGGCGGAATACTTGGCGAGGTCTCTGCACGAGAACTACTTGTATGCGGCCTCAGTCTTGGATGAAAATTCGGTTGACAATATCAGAGACTTGCGAAAGCCCACCGGAGGGTACGTCAAAAAATAGAGCACAAAGTTGCTATCCCTATTATACTATATATATTACGATGAATGAACACTCGGTCATGGTTATTTGGGCGGTGTAAATCACCAAACAGCGCAACGTCGCATATATGCCTCGCTCGCGAATGGGGATCCAGAAGCACATCACTGACAAAGATGCAGAGATACTATCACTGATGAAGACGCAAACATATCCATTGGGGACGACAATGAATTAAGAGAGCATCCCACTAGGTTTCCAAGAACGAAATACACATCACGGTGCAAGATTTAAATCAACATCGGTGACAGTAAAAAATTACATGTGCATCTCACGGAGAAGTAAAGAATTGAATAGACAACACCCGCAGTCAAAAACTTTTGAGTGGTTGAGACAGATTCACAAGGACACACCCTCAAGTATGCACCACCAATGGGTAGAGGATTGGGACCGAAGCCAATGCCTCTTGAGAGTAAGCCGCAGCTACGTGTCCCCCTCTACGGCTTCGATACCAAAGACCCATATGTTCCGAGAATGGCACCTAGAATGCCCACGGCGACTCCTGCTTTGGTCGCCACAGTCAGGAAGGGCGTGAGTTCGTCAGCATTCAACTTCAAGTGGAAAAGAAGGGGCAACGTGACGCATATGGTGAAGCAAATGGCGCTGCCGAGGAAGGCCACCACGTTGCCAAAGGACGTGAAGGCGATGGACAAGGTAAATAAAAAGGCCATGAACACCACACGCGCTAGGCATTGGCGCAAGGTCAATTTGGCAGGCTCCAATGGCGTGGCTGTGTTTTTGTTGGTGAGGGAGAGCTGGCTCTCGTAGACGGAGATCACCGGCCGCGTGACCAAGGCCAACTTGCAAGCAGGCAAAACGCCCAAAATCACGCAGATCACCGTGCGGACCCAGCCGGGGTACTCGGCCTGGGCGATAATGTTCTTTGTCACGGAGTCTTCTGCCGCGTCACCAAACATCACGTACCCCGCCGTGGCGATGAGGAGGTTCAACAGAATGGTGGCCAGAAAGGCAGCCGTGCAGCTCTTGTTGTACTTGGAAGGGTGGCGCATGTCTCGGTACAACTCCGGGAACACCGGGTGGCCGCCCCATGGGGCCATGAAGATGCCGAGGCTTAGGAGGAGATCTGTCCCGGACGACGGCCAGAGCGACGTGTGTGCGGGATATAGTAGCGAGACCGGCAGCCCGGAGGCAATGAGCCCGCAAAAAACGATCGTGGCAAAAATGCCGACAGTACACACAATGCCTACCAAGCTGATCACAGACACGAGTGACAAGGGCAAGAACGAGAACACGAGTGTCACGCCGGTGATGGCAAGTTTGAGCGAGGAGCGGTTGGCGTTGGGAAGCAACGTCGCAAACGAGTCGCTGAAGATGAGCACGAGCGAGAGCAGCGCTCCCATCAAGTCAAGCACAAACGCCCCGGTGGCGAACGCGAGGAACTTGCTGCCGCCGTAAAGATATGCAATGTCCGCGTACGAGTGCACGTGGCGGTGCTTGCGCAACACGGAGCCCAAGACCTTGGCGGTTTTCGAGGTGATACATGCACACAGGCCTAGAATCATGACCCCCGGCACCCATCCGGAGAGCCTGAGCCCGAAGGGGAGCGAGAGCATGGCAATGCCCATCAACGTGTTGATGGCGTTGAATACTGTCTGCGGCGCCGTGGAACGGCCCATTCCTGCAGCGTATAGACTGCTTTCCCGGCGACGTTTCACAGGGCCCTCCAGGGTCGATTCGTGCGAGCCGAGGGCGTCGTGTCCGGGGAAATGGAAGCTGCTGAGATCATTTCTGAGCTCTTTTCGGCCGCTCAGCGGCGTCTTGGCCGGACTGGCGGTCCCACAAGACCCGTATTCGGCGTTCAGCGTCGCACCGTTATCGGGACATAGAAGCCCCAGCTCGATGTCGCGGATTTCCGAGCTGGCCCGCGACGTGCATGGCGAGATATTGTCGATGGCGGCGGCGGTTTCAGGAAGCGTGACTTCCAAATACATCAGGGCCCGCTGGAGCGAGGACGCGAAGTTGTTGAGCGAGTTGGCCCCGCCATAATCCAAAAACGACGGTCTGCGAGCCGCAGCCTGCGGAGCGCTGTGCTGGGAGTTTTGCGGCATGGTTCGGGGAGCACGTGACTCGTCCGGGTGTGCGAGGCTTGTCCCTGGTGTGTGTGCAGATGGCGAATCCGGGGGGTGCTTCGAACTCGTGCTTTGCTACTTGCAACTCTGGTCAGTGTGCGCTGGAGTTGCAATGATTTAATTTTTTTTGCACCACTCATCTGTATGCACTTGCGCGACCTCGCTGCGTGGAGAAAAAGTATCTCTCCCCAGTTGCGCTGTTTGATGCGCGCGTCCTGCACAATGCCTGTTGAGCCTCCTCCCGCGCATGGGGCCGGGCTTCGCTACGGGTGAGTTGCGCTGTTTGAGACGGGGCCACGGGGTCCAGAGGATTTTCACATGAGACGCGGAGGCGCCTCTGGTTCAAGTTGAATAAAACACGCTTGTGTTTTTGTGATGACAGCTCCATGTCTTTGAATTCTGCTGATGCATCTGGGAGTTTGGCCTGCCTGTCTTTTATATGTGCCGGAGGGGCCAGCAGCTAGTTGTGAAAGGTTGACTTTGGGTCAGTCGGCGAGGTCCGCGATATTTGAATTGCCTTGTAGAGTTCCAGGCAATATCATTCCTGCCAATATACTGCTCAATACCCTTGCCATCATACCATTCACTATAGTAGACACCATATTAGGTCCTAACTAGGGGGCCGAAGAAATAACTCGCTGATCTCCAGAGCGCCCGTAAGTCACCATTCTGCGCAGTGTAAAAATAATCATCTGTCGGTGTACCAGCTATTTTTTGAGCCAATGCTTGAAACACCAGGCCATCTATCAAGAAAGTGGCTGTATCCTACCAATGCATTATATGACTCTTGAACTGCTTTCTCGCACTCCAAAAATGAAACTAACCTTCACCTGAAGATCGATGTTCAACGTGTATTGACTACAAGAAAATCAAACATCTCATTGTACAAATGTTGAGTAACCTAGCGACCGGTTGCCTTCTATGAGAAAGGCAATGAGTTCTGCCATTACTCAAGAAAAACTAATTGTCAAGGACAAATAAGAATACGATTCTTTCTGCTCGTGACACTCTGATAACATGACTAGTCAGAGTAAAAATGATGACAGTACAGATAGTACATGACGGGCACAATCAAATGCCGGGATCCAACAGCTTTCCTGCGTAAAGCTGGTTGTGAGTAGCCTTTAAGACTTTTGGAGTCTTTAGTTTAAAGTCACTCCTCACTTTCAGAGATGTAAATGACCAAAATTTCCCAGCTAAATGTACTCTTGATTACATTTTCCAGAATACAAAATTCAGTTAGCACCACTACCAAAAGCCAAAACTCAACCATCAAAGTAAACTCAATTCTATAATCGGAACATCCTCATCACGACACAGACAAACACTTCCACTCACAGGGGAACAACAGTAGATGTTATAAAGAAACTGACTCACGACTGTCGGTTTTGAAGACCATCAGATCAGACCTTGATTCAGGGTACTCAAAAAATTCAAACCATGTATTTGAGTTAAAGTCGCATCAATCCCGGTTTGTCACCAAAACATGATATGGGACCCACAAGAATCGAAGAAAAATCATAAAAGCTAGAACAAGATATCAAAACAAAAATAGACACGTATGTTCCACTGTTCATTTTTAGTAGCGGTGCTTACCAAAGATTTTTCTATGTTTCATGAATGGTCAGCAATATCACAAGGCTGAATCTGCACAAGCAATACTTTTCAGATAATAATTGGTGTTTCAAATTTTCAAAGTCTTACCGCTCTTGTAGCAGAACAACATGAGGCCGAAATGCCTATCAAGTATCAAACACAATCATGTACACAAACACAATCATGTACACAAACACAACTATGTACACAAAAATAAATATGTCAAAACAGATATTTACATATTTGTTCACAAACACGCCTGTCACAGTACGCGAACACAAAAATCTTCACAGACGCAATAACTACAAACATACTGCTTTAAAATGTATCTTTTTATACATGGTCAAAGGCCAAAGTGCAGCTGTTATAGAAACCCTCTTTTTCATAACGAAAAAGCATTTTTTTTATACAAAAAGTAAATTTGATAATAAAACACCACAAAATATACATCTGCACAATAACGGTTATTTATACATCGAATTCAAAACTTAAAAAGCACAACGCCCCAAACGCATTTTGATAGAGAAAGACAGGTGCTTACGTAAACATAGATACCTAAATTGTATTTATATGTACAGACATGGATATTTACAGAAACATTACCACGATACACCACCTGTCACAGACATAGCCATGCATGGAGACTATCAAAAATTACTTACTCACAATCATCTCAGCATTCAAGGGGTTAATTTTCATAAATATTATTAATACACTAGCTTTTAAAGAAACACGTTAATGGTTTCGTCTTGAATTTTCTTACTTTTGAGTCTGGAGAGCGAACTTTTATTAGTAATATGATCATACTCCTCACTTAGAATGAGGCAAAAAACAAAAAACATGTCACTTTAGAATGACGTGGAGGCGCATGACGAGAATCGAATCAACGTTTGAAGACATACTGTTAAGGAAGTGTCCTCTCTCTCTCTCTCTCTGATTTTGTCCATAAAATTTGATAGCAACTTTTGAATTGTCATTCAGAATACAACATCTCCGTATATATATATATTGATTTTTCTAACTTTGAAAATTCTGTAATTAGTCTGCAGTAAATACATAAACTTTTGTCTGAGCCTCCTGACATGCAGTGAGCAATATTGTGACAATCTGATAAAAAACACTGGCACATGCAGCTCTCTTGTATGAAATAATGCAAAGTTCTGAAATAGCCGCTTAAACCTTTCAAAGCTTTGTCTGGTCTTGTGAGTACAAAAATGAATTTATTTACAACGGTCACTCGCTGATCTGCTAGTAGAATGTCACATTTGAAGTCGTGCTTCTCGCAAAATGATCGAATGAACTGAGATTATTGCTCTAGATCTCAAACTTTCAGTCGATTGAGCTGAAAAGAAAAGAGCATTTGAGAGAGAACTCGGCCAATTTGACGTTGACAAGGACACTTCCTGTTTAGGTTGTGGAAAATCTTGTCTTTGAGTACACGAGGCCCAGTCACGCTGGCAAATTGATAACAGTCACAGATATAAGCAAAGTCTTGAAATGATGGTTTTGTCTATTAAAAAATTAACACTACTTTGCAACCCAATTGCATTGACACCCTAAATTCAACAATAGAGCATTCTTCTCGCCAGACCAAGATATAATGAGATTGTTTTGCCCGTAGTTGCCCTCTATATCTGTACAGAAAATTACTGGGGATCTTTTGGGCTGAAATATAATAAAGCAAATCATGGAATGACGAAGGAAATAATATATTTCCAAAGAATGTCGTTCTGACTCAGGAACGATGATCGCTTTCCGATTTCCAAAGTTGGATAAAGTAAGATCCTTATACTCATCAATGTCAATGCGCTCTATCAGATAATATTGGGCCAGAATATAAAAATTCGTTATGGGCTTGATCCCTCGATATCATGAGTTTTTTGCTGTGAGCAAGTTTCATATACTTCGAGAGGTCAAGAGAATCAATGGGGCGGCTCTCTCCTAAATCATGCCCATTTTCCTCGCTGATTCTGCAAGAAGATCTTCGGAAAAGGCATATTGCTCTTTGAATACCACAATTTATGATGTTTAACTCAGAATTGAGGAGAATCTAGGGCAAAACTTAGTGAAAAGCATTTTGATGGCACTGAAATCACAGCCAGCATTCAAAGGTGGTCATCGTGATCGATATTCACTGCATAAGTAATTTCCCAACAAATACAACCTAAGTGTCCCTCGTTTGAGGATTGTATCAGTGGTCATAAAATATGCAAAATAAGAGGCATTCTGTCATAAGGGCACTGAGTGGACCTTATTTGGGGAGTCAATGAAGGTTTATCACGTGAAAGGCGGGAAGAACATACAATTCATTCGCCAAAGTGAGGTTAATCGTCTGAGCAGGTATAATAGTAAAAACATTAGAACAGCAGAAGCAATATCCCAATACTTGGCAAGTTTCTGTTCATCTTTTGAAGCCGACGTGGCACCATGCATGTATAAATCATCACCAGTGCATTCAGATAATTTGTGGCAACTTTAAGCTTTCGCCGCGTCTAAAGATGTCAGTAATGATTGATATGAGTAATTTTGGCAGTTTTCTAAGACCCCCACATAAAGAGAAGTGCATGTAGAAAATAGCTGGAAAAGGCCCAATGAACAGATATTCAGCCGCACTGAATTGCAGATACGGCAATAGGCGTGCTCATACGCCAACCATTTATAACAATGTAACTTGAAATAACCGGCTTTCTTGCAAGATAGGCTATATTACTAGACGCGCCATGTCAATGTGGGAACAATACACGAGAAAAAAAAATCTAATTTTCAATGATATATGCATCTGAAGTGTGCCTCAAGCATGAACTTAACTCTTTCAAAGAGTCGGGGCCGACTCGCCATGAGCATCGGTCATGAGCATGAGCATATTGCATCAGGCAACTGGATTCCGTGGGATTCCATGCGAGCCAGCACTGGTATGGGCACCTTGAAAGAATCAACGCAAAGTTGGGGCAGTCAATAATTTAGAGGTGAAGAGCGGCGCACGCCGCTACCCATGTGAGAAGCCATCCGAAACATCGTCCGTGGCCTAAGCCGTGGTCTGGGTGAGAGACTCGTCGGACCCCTCGAGATTCTCCGATGCAGCGAACTTCTCTTCCTCGGACTCGGTGGACGGCACGCGTTTCTTGACGTCCTTGACCGTGAGTATGTTCTTTGTGCCAAACACAAACACAGGATGGAAGGGGATGAATATAAGCCCCGCCACGGCCATCATGGACGCGTCAAGCGCCATCAAGAACGCCTCGTGCGTGATGAGGTAGCCCGAGAAGCCCTCCTCCAACTCCACCACCCTATAAACACACCGGATGTAGATGAAAATCACCGCGGCGGTGACCGCGAGCGGGAAGTACGGCGCCAAAAGACGTGCCCGGATATGCGTGTACTTTGTATTGTAGAAGGGCTCGAGATGCTCTTGCCTGTATGCCCTGGCGGACGAGGTGTTGAATAAGAACTTGAAGTAAGACACCGGGGTCCGTCTCTTCAAAGGAGAGTCCGAGACAACGGACTTGCGGTCGTGGAAGTAGATTCTGGAGATGAACTCAAGCCAAAATACAATGAAGATGGTCATGGCCACGACCTGGAAGAGTATACCTCCAAACATGACCCAAATTCCGTTTGAGGGGTCTTCCTGTCTCCGGTTGGCAGCCGAGGCCATGCCTCCGCCAATGCCTTGGATTACCAAGGAACCCACGTCGCACCCAATGAAAAAATACGAGTACCACATGGGCCTCAAAATGGAGTACTGGCGGCCGTAGATGGCCACGTTCTGTGCAAACAAAAAGTAGATGCCGGCCATGATGAACGCCGGCGCAAAGGTCAAAGACAAGAGCTGGAGCAAGAAATAGTTGATGTCTGAGTCGTCCATGAACGCCAACACACGGCCCAAAAAACCCAAGAATTCGAGCGTGTAGCCGCAGATGAAGGTGATGTTGAACCAGTGGTAGCGGGACTTGACCAACATGCCGAGCTGGAAAAGCCAGATCAACGCGAAGAGCACCAAAAAAAAAATGTTGCCACCCCGGTTCAAGTAGTAGCCGTAGATGTTCTCGTCGTCTGCCAAGCTCTGCAAGTTATACATGGATTCCCAGATGACTTCGGTGGCCTCGGCCTGCACGGACGAGTCTGTGGCAGTGGCCAAGATTTCCTGGGCATCGATGATGGAAAGAGACGCCTCGGCACCACGCACCACCTGCGAGAGCGAAATCACGTCAAGATACCCCGTGGCGGTCTGTAGGCTTGCCACTGCATTGCTGACAGAAGCAGACAATGCTGGCGCACAGGTGGTGGCGATGGATTTGAGAGTGGACGGGTGTGTGCTGGGGTATCCCGTGGATGGCGACCAGGCCAAGTCTGAAATTATGCTCATTCCGGGTCGTTGGTTATTGGCGTCGTTGGTTCTTGGATTCTTTGGATCTTGGATTCTTTGGTTCTTGGATTCTTTGGATCTTGGATTCTTTGGTTCCTGGATTCTTTGGTTCCTGGATTCTTTGGTTCCTGGATTCTTTGGTTCCTGGATTCTTTGGTTCCTGGATTCTTTGGGTGTGTTCAACTTGGGTGAGTTTAAATTAGGAGTTCTGGAGAGAGGCGAACGCGGCGAGACTCGAGGATATAAGTCGAACGCATCGTTGCAAAATGGGCTTTGCCGAGCCTGCGCATCGGAGATATTGCATGGGCCGCATAGCAATCGCCGATCCGGGCTAAGTTCCGAAGTTCCGTGCGATGCTTTCGTGCGACTCGGTTGTCGCTGGCCGGCCGCAAATCTGCTCAGGTTCCAGAGGCAGTGTCTTGTATCCTTGCAAGTCCAGCTTGTGGTGTTTTGTATGTTGTTGCTTCGATGCCGAGGGCCATTTGCAGATCTTGGTGGATCTGCTTGCCTGGTTTGGTGCCTCGCCGGTTTGCGGAGTTGCTCCTCGATTTACGATTTTTGCTTGGAAGAGGCTGTGCGGCCGCATTCACGCTGTTTACGTGACCTGTATGCCGTCCGCCGAGGGGACCAGCTGGTTTTTCCTCACAACTCCGGGGGCACTCGCCGGCCGTATGCAGGCCCCGCCAAGACGTGATGCGCCGTACGCCACGCAGATCCAATTTCGGGCGACGGTTCCACCGGTGCGTGCTGTGGAACACTGCGCTTTTTCCCCATGAGGGTTTTGGTTTGACACGTCTTTGCCACATCATGCTTATAAGCTTCGAAGCTTATCGGGGAAGGCGCAGTTGTGCAGCACGCCCAGGGGCTGCCCGCATGAGACCGGTATTTGGTGGCGCGTCTTCGCCCACACTGTGGGGGATCATGCTCGAGATGTAAGGTCAAGTATCAGAGGCCCGAACAATGCGGCTCGAATATCTGGAACGCGACTATCTGAAATCTGGGAATCTGGAGCTGAATCGCTGAAGTGTGGCCATCTGAAATTATTTGGAACTGTGATTTCTGAGATTTGAGATTCTGGTTCTTGAATATCTGAGATTATCTGAAACAGTCACATGTAGATTTTGAATACCTGGAGCTTGTCTGGAACTCAACAATCCGACCCAGAACTCAGATATCTGGACTCGGGAGATTGGAAACGCGAAAACCTGGACTCAGATATCTTGTCCCTGACTATTTGAAACGCGAAAACCTGGACTCAGATACCTGGTCCCGGAATATTTGAAACGCAAGTTAAGACTCAAAAATCTGAAACCTCAATTGTAGGCTCGAGGACTAGCACTCAAGAATAGCACTTGGCGCTGCAGAGAAAAGCAGAGTATGTGGGTTCGGGCCCATCCCAACAATCGTAAAATCCATAAGGAAAACCCCTCCCAAGCAGCAGATCTCGGTTCTTGTGGCTCGTGACCTTTTCTTTGGTTGACGTCACCGGTGCTAGAAGTAAGACAACCGTCGTATATACAGGGCTCATATGCCCTGCTACTCGTGATGTCCCCCGGCCCCAGACAGATATGAGCCCTGTCTGATCACGTGCAGCCAATAACCAACGATGAGTGAAGCACTGGCTCTATGCCAACACATCGGGCGGTTTTTATTTGGTGAATTGCGCCCCTTGAAATACAGTCGTCATTCACATATGTGTCTGATGACCGCCAGCTTTATCAATGGCGCAGCTGGCACAGCCAGCTCGTCTACGGCTGGACGCTCTGGGAATTCAACAGAATAGCAGAATGGCTGCCCCCGTTTGATTTCCTTGGGAGCTTGAAAAAATCCACACATACAGCATACTTCCTACTAAAGTACATCATTTACTGCAAATGCGCACACCAGTCGAGAGACCGGTGTGGCGTAGTGACAAACCGCAAAGGCCACGGCCAGGATACAGAACGAGGCGCCGGCCCGGATTTTGCCGAGGCGCTCGAAAGAGGTCTAAAAAGAAAAATTGTATTCCGTGTGCGGTACTAATGATGACAGGCCGCCGTATGCTAAGCCACAGCTTACGTGGCAATGTTGGTCTGGATGTTGTCCTCGTACTCGATCTCCACATGGGGCCTCCTCCTCTTCTTCCCTTGCTTCTTGTCTTGCAGTTTTGCCTCGCCGGCCTTGCCCGACTTGCCGCCCTCGTCCGCCTCGTCCTCGTCCTCGTCCTCGTCGGAGCTGTCGGAGCTTGAACCTCCCAACCATCTTTCCAAGTCCTCCATGTCGACCAACTCGTCCTCGGCGTCGTCCTCCACATACTCGACCTCGCCGAAATCGTCCTCGTCTCCAGACTCCAAAACAACGTCGTCATCTTCGTCAAACTCCTCCTCGTGCTCCTGCTCGTCGACCTTGCCCAAGACCTTCTTCCAGATCTTCTCGTCCACGTTCAAAGGCTTGTCGCCATAGGCGCCACTCTTCAATCTGTCCAACAACTCCTTCTCGATGGCCTTTTCGATTCTGGCCGCGGCCAACGCCTTTCTCTCCCTGTTCTCCTCTCTTCTCTTGACCTTGGGCTTGACGCCCACGTAGTGTCTCTCCTCCTCGCGCAAAGCAAGTCTCCTTTCCGTGACGGCCACCTGGGTCAATCTGGTCAATCTCTGCTTGCACTTGTTGATCAAGAATTTCAGCCAGTACTGCAAGTGGTGGTCGAGCTGCTCCATGGCCTTGGAGTAGTTTTTCAGCAACTTGACCCGCTCCCAGAGCTGTGCAGGCATGTGTGCTCTTTCGGCGGTCTTCATGTATAGATATAACTTACCCTCCACGTTCTTGACCGTGGCGTACTTGGCGTTTGCCAAGGGGCACGATTCCCGGTCGCACAAGCCGCTGACGTTGTACTCATTTCTGCAGAAGTCCTGGCCTTTGCCGGGCCGGATTTTAAATGAGCAGAAAGAGTGGTTTATCACCGACCAGATGACTTCGTCCGATGACATGATGATAGATGTGAGATGCTATGGGCAATGGATGCAAAATGTGCGGAGCGTGTTTTTGAGCAAGTTGCGACGTGTGGGCTGGCACTGCTTGGATGGTCCCTGTATTAGTTCTGACGGGGCTCAATGCTGGTGTATCGTCAAAAGATCTGTGGCTTTTTTTTCAAGTGAGTCTGCTGGATACAGATGTATGTAGAAAAAAATATGAGCAGAGATGCCCTCGCCGGACCCGTGCACCACATGCCATCGCGGAAGGCCTTGCTGACACCAGTCAGAACCATGGGTACAACGTGCTTTTTGGCTTCTGCTTTCAAACTCGATAGTGCCCCGCGAGACGGTTCTAAGCCTTTCGCTCGGGACTTGGACGGGCCGTTGCTTCTTACTGGGCTGCGATTTGATTTGCCGCCGCAGCTATTGGCTCGAGAGGGCCGCTGGTCACGTGCTGCGCGGCTGGCTCGGCTCAGCAGACAGGTATCTCAATATGTGGTTCTAAAAAGGAACAAGCGCAGATTTAAGCTCTGACATGGGGGCCTTAGTCAACTCTAATGTAGGTGATGAACTGGATAGATCTTTTGCGGGACTTCATGCTTCAACGCTGGTGGGACGCGCCTATGGCAGAAGTTCATGGGGGCATCTCTGATGCTCATGGTTTGTATCTGTCTGGATGTCAAGAGAAGGGCGGGACATCCATTAATCAGGAACACGGCCCGGGCAGATCTGGAATTCCTGGGTAGTTTCTGTGGGTTCCCCGTAGACGCTTTGGATGTTCTGGCGGAATTGATCTTCCGGTGGACCTGTGATTTTCCTGGACCTGTAATGTTCTGAAAAGTCCGTTTCTCTGGCAGATCACATAATTCTCTGAAAGGTCTTATGGTTCTTATGTAGGTCCCAGGATTCTCAGATAAGCCTGCGGTCTCTGGTGCATCTTTTGATGCTCTGATGGGTCTCCTTGTTTTCTAGTATGTTTCATTGTTTTCTGGTGGATCCTGAACTTCCTGGTCGATCGATCACTCCCTGAAACCCCACTCCCTGGAATACCCTTTGGTCCCTGAATACCTGCTCACTTCCTAAAATGCCGCTCACTCTTTGAAATACCTCTTCCTCCCTTAAAACCCCCCTCTCCCTGAAATACCCCCTTTCCCGAGCGGACTCCATACTACATCACAGACCTCACGATCTCAGATAAATCGCGGCAGATCCACGGGACCAGCCCTTCAGCCATGGCGGCTCCATCCTTGAAAAAACGCTCACTGCCTGCCTCTCAAGGAAAGCGGCTTGAAAGGCACGTGGGGCTTCACCTTCGCCACCTTTGGCCCCATGAGTGTGGGAAAGGCAGACGCATTGAGCTCGTGCGCTTTGCGAGAAAACGACATGAGGGTCACCACCACCTGGTACGGGTCTTTAGCCTCAAACAAGTCGACAGTCTGGAAGATCTCGTCATGGCCCACGCCAATCATGTCGCATGTCTGGAGAAAGAACAGGATGTTTTCCATCTGCACGAACGGCATACGCGAGGTCCTATACTTGGCCGTGGGAGCCAGCGGGAGACCTAGCAAGTTGCCTAGTCTACAAAGAAGTTTCCCGTCCTTGAGAATCTCCGCCAACCCGTGTTCACCCACGTCGTACAGGTTGCGTTCTGTCTGCAGAAGCTGCAAAGTGTCGAAAATCCACTCGGCGGCCTCGTGCTCGGACCTTTCGAATTTGGCGGTCCGCGACAAGCGGAGATCCTGGTCGAGGTTGGTGTGGGCGTTCTGGTTCATTGTGAGCCGAGATCGAGGGAACGCTGATTTTTGGGCGTTGTTGGACGTGGGAGTAGAGTCTACAGTCTTGCAAGTATGGTTTATTTCTCGGGCTTTGGTGCGCGACTTTTCAGATCTGCAAATCTTGGACGAAAACGCTGGGTATGCCGAAGACCTAAGTATGTGAAAGACCTTACTATGTCGAAGACCTAACTATGTCGAAGACCTTACAATGTGGAAGACCAAACTATTTGGAAGACAAAACAATGTCGAAGACCTTACTATGTCGAAGACCTTACTATGTGGAAGACAAAACAATGTCGAAGATCTTACTATGTCGAAGACCTTACTATGTCGAACTTACTATGTGGAAGACAAAACAATGTCGAAGACCATTTGGTAATTTTTGTGCCGCTGTTTTTTCTTGTAAGCAGGCAAGAAGCAGGGCACAGGCAGAAGCCGCTGCGTTGCTTCTCCACACGAGGTGTGCTTTCGGTACATGGCTGTGGCCGGGCGCGGACTTATTACATGGTAATAAATCGCATTAATTACCACTTTTACAGAACAAAGCTGTGTTCTGGGAAACTCCAAAAGTGTCTCGGCACGTCCATGGCCGGATTTAGCAAGCCAAATGCCTATGTTGGCAGCCTTTTGCCTATTAAACTGGCCCGTCATACCAACAAGGCATCCAATATGTAGAATACGAACGGATCAAATCCACAGGCGGAACGCTCAGACGAAAACCCAGATGAAAAGTCTCAGATGAAAACTTTCAGACTAAAAATCTCAGATGAAAAGTCTCAGACGAAAAGTCTCAGACGAAAAGTCTCAGATGAAAAGTCTCAGACTAAAACTCTCAGATGAAAAGTCTCAGACGAAAACTCTCAGATGAAAAGTCTCAGACTAAAACTCTCAAACGAAAACTCTCAGACGAAAACTCTCAGACGAAAACTCTCAGACAAAAATCCCAGACGAAAACCCCCAGACGACACCCCAGACGAAAACAAACCTTCTTATTATATAGTTACTACCGCGCCTAGTTGTGCAACTTCTTCTCGTAGGAGTGCAAGCCGTGCACGCCGCCCTCCAACTGCGCCGAGGCGGTCCTGAACTCGAACCTCACCTCGCCGCTGTACACGTTCTCTCTCAACTGCTCCACGGACTGCACACCAATGTCCTGCAACGAGTGCTGCAACCCGTTGTACAAGTAGGGAACGAACTTGGTGATGGAGCCCTTGTCCACGACAGACCCCGACACACCCTGCGCCACCAACACCTTGTCGGCCTCGGAAAAGTACCGCGACGTCGACGCGTTGGCGTTGGTGGACGTCTGCTGCATGGCGTCGATGGAGCCCATGCCTCTGTAGGTCTTCAACCTCTTGCCGTCGCGGTAGAAGTAGTCGCCCGGCGTCTCGGACGTGCCGGCCAACAAGCCTCCCATCATGATGCACGAGGCGCCCAAGGCCAAGGCCTTGGTGATGTGGCCGATGTTTCCAATGCCACCGTCGGCAATGCAGGGCACACCAAACTGACTGGCAAACTCACATACATTGAACACAGCGGTACCCTGGGGCCGGCCGCAGGCCATGACCTCCTGCGTGATGCAGATGGAGCCCGAGCCCATGCCGATTCTCAAGCCGTCGGCCCCGGCCTCGATCAACACCGCGGCCTGCTCCCTGGTCACGACGTTTCCGGCAATCACCTGCAAATCGGGGTACTTGCTCTTGATCCACTTGAGCATGTCGATCTGGAAAACCGACGAGCCGTTGGACGAGTCCAACACCACCACGTCCAAGCCGGCCTCGACCAACTTGTCCAAGCGCTCCCTGTCGGCAGGAATGGTGCCGATGGCGGCTCCGCACAACAACTGTTTGGACGAGAACGACTTCGACGCGTCCGGGTAGTCCTGGTTCTTCTGTAAGTCGGTCAACGAAATCAACGACACCAAGTTGCCCTCGGCGTCGACGATGGGCAACTTGCCTTTTTTGGACGATCTCAACAACGCGTTGCCCTCGGCCAACGTGATGCCCTGCTTGCCGGTGATCAAGTCCGTGGTCATGACTTGGCTGACGGTGGCAGAGTCGTCCTCGTGGAACTGCACGTCACGTGACGTGACGATTCCCAAGAGCCGGGCGCCGGCCTTTCCGTTCTCTGGCGGTTAGTGGGGTTCCCATGGGCACTCAACGTCAGCAGTAAAGGTCTCCTCAACATCGTGAGATGCTATTCGGTAGAACGAAAGTTATTTAGAAAAAGTAGATCATCAGTGTGGAAGTGCAGAAAATATCGAAAAAAACATACCGGTAACTGGGAACGACGAGAATCCGATCCTTTCCTTCATGGCCTTGATCTCACCAACCGTGACAGAAGGGCCCACGACAATGGGATCGCTGATGAACCCGTTCTCGTATTTCTTCACCAGTCTCACCATCGCCGCCTGCTCATCTGCAGTACAGTTGTGGTGGATGATACCAATGCCTCCCAACAACGACATGTGGATCGCCATGTTCTCCTCCGTGACGGTGTCCATGGGCGAGGACACAAATGGAGACTTCAAGGTGATTTTCTTGGTCAACTTGGACTCCAACTTCACGGCAGAAGAGGGGAAGGTGATCAAGCCTGGCAACACGAGGAAATCGTTGTATGTCAAGCCACCGAAGTTGGCAGAGTCGATCAAAGAACGGACGTCGAGTCCGTCCTTCTTGGCGTACGAGGCAAGGTGAGCACTGGCGTTTGAGCAATCTAAGACCATGGTGGGTAAAAGTTAGCCAGAAAAGAAAAAAAAAGAGGCGCAACAGGCCTGCGATGCCTTGGTATTTATAATGGCGCGCGAATTTTTTTTTTCAATTCCACCAGGCGCCCGGTCTGCATACAGAACACCGCTGGTGAAGGCTTGACAGCAAGGCACCGCCGGCTGCTGCAACTATGTGGCCATTTCAGAGTGACAATGGTATCAATTGGACCATAAACTAAGCGGTGTCACGTGTTCCCACGGCTGGGGAACCGCCACGTCTCTGCGACCCATCCATGCGGAAATTTCGCGCCCTCAATGTCTGCGCTAGGTCTTCAGCGTTCTGACTCGGGCTCGCGCGGGTTTTCCACCCGGACTCCGCGGCTTTCCCGATCTTATCTGCGGGTCGCCTGAGCCCAATTGACTGCAAAATCACTCCATTTCTCGGCCCGCCCGCTCTAACTGTTGGGTAGCTCCATTCGACTATAAAGTAACGTTTTTCACAGACGCGCCTAGTGAGCGTCAACACCGGCCTCGCTCGAAAGCGTCGTCTGTGGCTCCTTCTTACATCTCTGCACATACTCGTCAATCTTTTGCCAGCCTTGCTTTCTTCTTGTTTCTCTTAGTTTCTGTTCTTCAAGTGATTGGTGGTACAACATGGTACACTGCTTGAACAACATAGGGTTGTGGTCCATGAACACCTTCAACGCTCCAAAGGCAAATTGATGAATGCTCTTATTCCAATTGGATGTCGCCAGGTTGTGTGGGGGGATGTGGCTTAGGTCTTCCATGTCCATGTTGTGCTGTGGCGAGGAGAACGAGTCGTAATATTCCTCGTCTGTCATGTCATGGATCATGTTCGTGTCCTCGTGAAGCCCCGGGATTCCGCTCCGATTATGGCTCTCTTCGTCGCCACCCATTGTAAACGCTGTATCGATCAAATTGCCATTTTTGTCCGTCACAGCTTCGGGGGTTTCGAGGAGCTTTTGCTTGAGTCTACCATTGGCGATTCCTGGTTGAGTAGCGTTTGTCAACTCGTATAGAGACGCAAAAATGACCGGGAGCACGATTTGGGCATTCTCGGTGACGAGAGTCAAAAAGTACTCGTTTTGCCAGAAACACAACACTTTCTCACTGACTTGGAAATGGGACGAGGCAATACATTTCAGCAACTGGGCGAAGAGAGGGATTTGAATCTTGACAAACTCGCTGGGTTCCATCACCTCGAATATGTCTTCGATTTCGTTCAAAAACATCACCTCCTTCGGGGAGTTGATTTTGGGCCAGAACCTCAAAAGACCCATGATCACGTCTTCGGTCAAAGAAGGGTCCTTTTCCAAAAACTGGACAATGCAGTATGCCAACTGTGGATGGTACAATGACAAGGACTTGACCTTGTGCAATGGAAGAAGGATCCGGATGAGGAACGTCTTGTGCTCGTCTTTCAACGGCAAGGCGAACCCGTTGATGATGGAGCCTAAGATTTCCAAGAGCTCCCCAATACCATTGAAGCGTTGGGTCTCGTAGGTGAACTGCAAGAAGACGTTGTTGATGGACTTCCTGATGAAGGAGCGCAAGCTCAAGAACTTGCCGTAGATCCGGTGTAAAGTGGTCTTGAGACAGTCTCTTTCCCGGGGGTCCTCACTGTCGAACAACTCCAAAATGCGCAAGACAAAGTTGTGGTCGATGTACTGCTTGGCGACCTGGTGATGAAAGTCCGGACTCTCAACAAAGCGCAAGAAGAATTCGTAGATCGACTGCATGTGGGGCCACGCCAACTCCGAGACGGGCTCGTCTTCATCCGGGTCGAACAACTCGCCCACCGGGTTCACGGGCGGCGGGATGGGACGGAAGAGGTTGGTCTTGAACATGGTGATCACGTGGCTGTACATCTCGTCCGTGTAGTTGAAGCGGTTGCTGACAATGAACTGGATGAGCTCCTGGAGCGTGATGCGCTTGATCTCCTTCCCCCGGATGTCTTGCGTGGGGTCGTTGAAGTCGAAGATGATGTTGCACTGGTCGACCTTCTGGTTGAAAAGCGAGATCTGCTCCTCCGGCGCCACCTCGTCGAAGTTGGGGAGCTTGACGATCTCCTGGGTACGGTCTGCCGTCGTGGGCTCGAAGCGCGACGACGAGTGCCTCTTGGGCGCCACGATCATGTCGATGTCAAACGCCTCCTTGTTGGGCGAGCCGATGTTGGGGCTCAAGGACACCAGATGGGCCTGCAGCGAGTGGGAGCCCAAACGGGCGTCCAAGATCGAGCTGCCGGGGCCCGAGCCGCCGTGGGCCTGCGTGGGCGAGCTGGGCGTGGGCGTCACGGGCGTCGTTTTGGCGAGCGACGTGTGCACGGGCTCGTTGATGACGATTTTCGGCAGGCTGCTTGACGCCAACGCCGCAGGCGGCGGCGTGGCGGGCAGCAGAAGCGCCAGCAGACCAAACTGGGCAGCTGCAGGCGAGCTGCCGGGCGCGTCGTGTGGCGGCGGCGAGTCGGCCGGCTCGGCGGGCGCCAGCGGCGCGCCTTCCGAGGGCTGCAAGTCCAAAGGGTCGTTTTTTGACGAGCTGGGCGACGAGGACTTGAGCGACGAGTTGGAGCTGGACGGCTTGGCTAGCGACGACGCCGGCAGCAGCAGCGGCTTTTTCAGGGGCTCTTTTTCCTTGGGCGTGTTCTCCTTGTGCTCCTTTTTCTCGCTGCGCTTGGACAGCGCCAGCGACTTGTTGCGGGTGAGCCTGTTCTTGAAGCCTTTCATCATCTTGGAGCGGTTGAATGTGGGGAAACGAGAGGCGAGCGGCAAGACGAGTTTCGGGTCGTTTTGCGTGCAGAAAAGACGGGGGCGGGGCCGTGGGGCCGGGGAGGGGCGCCAGACGTGTTTCTAGGGCCGTGGCGGCAAAAACCGGGGGTGGCGGCGAGAGATATGGGGGGGGCCTGGGGGGTGTTTCAGCGCAGCAAGCAAGGCGCGTTCAGCAGGCTCAGCAAGAGGGGGGAAAGGGTTTGAAGTGCCGGGAGGGCCTGGGGCAGACCTGTTCTCGATGGATGAAAAATACAGGCACGCGAGGGTTTTGGGAGCAGAAGCCAGGCGGGGTGGATTTTTTTGGCCAGCGGTCTGTGGAGGAAACGGCGATAAAATTGCGGGAGCAGTGGGCTCGACACGTGAGGAACAGACAGGAGCCGTGGTCTAGAAGGCACGGGTTTTTGCAGGGACAGACAGGGTGCAGGACACGGGATTGCTGCTGCCTGGAGGAAAGCCGGAGGTGGGGGATTTCGTGTCGTTCGGGTTGGGTCGGTTTGTTTGGCGTGGTGGGTTAGTCTGGCGGCCCGGCCAGCGCCATGCCAGGTGATCAGCCGGGAGCGGCGCGGAAAAGCGGTGCGCGCACGACCGCGTGGCATGCCCCCGCCGGGAGGCTTCAGCCAGCGGCGGCAGGCCGGGCGCCGATTGGCGATCTGCCTTTTTCTTGGGCTTTTTCTGCCAGCCGGCCCCGGGAGTTTGGGGCTGTTTTGTTGTGGGTTTGGGTGTGGCGGGCCGCGCCATATACAGGCCGGCGCAGTCGGGTATGGCCGCGGAGGAGTGCACCGACCAAGGCCAATAAAGTCCAAACCGGCGCTTTGTAGCGGGGTGGAAACCGGCCCCATAAAAGCGGGGCTGCGTGCCGCGTTGCTTTTCTTTGCCGGTGCAGCCGGTCTTGGGTGGTCGGGGTTTCGTGGGTATATTGGCCGGGTTTCTTGGGCATGTGGGCCGGGCGTTGAGTGGCCTTTGCTGGGGCTTCCTGCGTGGCGACGCAGGAGTAATACTCGGAACGGCAATGGAAAGAAATGTCGGAATTTCCCGCTGATACACCCGGTGGCACGGCGCCAATGAAGCGGCCAAGCCCGGAGCCAAGCTGGGGCCGGCGAGGTCGAATGGCGGTGTTTCCTAATTCAGACGAGCATAGCGGCGGCGAGGCCATGACGTAATTTTGCACCCACGCAGGGGCCACGGCGGACTGAGAAGAAGGCCCAACAAAACACCCCATTGGGGGGGAACTATCCATTTTCTGGGAACGGGCACGAGCGCCGCCCCTCTGCACAGAGTACTGCCCATTGAACCTGAATTTCGCGGGGCCTTCAAAAACCAATTGCGGCCATGGCCCAGGAAGAGAGAGGCGTCTCCAGACGAGCCGCACAGGCCAAGTCATCCAGCTCCGCCTCTTCTACGTTGTCCGTGGAAAAGACTATATTCTGGGTGTCTATAATGTCTGTGTCGCTGGAAACACCTGGTCAGAAACGGCTGCCAAAGTACATGGTCAGGCACAGCTGTCAGACACAGCTGTCAAAATACGTGGCCAGACACAGCTGCCCAAATTTCTGATCAGAACAGCTGCCCAAATTTCTGATCAGAACAGCTGCCAAAATTTCTGGGCTGTCAAAACACCTGGTCAAAACAGCTGTCAGAATACCTGGCCAGATACGCCTGGCACCTGCGTCCCAAACACCTGCCAGAAACCTGTCAAAACACCGGTGTCCCAAACTCCTGTCAGACATGCTCTCCGCTGTCATACGCGGCCTGCGGCCAGCCCTGTCTATATACACGCGCGGGCCCCACGCCTCACTTCTCCGAGTTTTCCATCAGGAGGTAGCAGTTCCAACCAATGCTCAAGAAATTCACCACAAGCAAGCGGAACAGCGGCGGCACAAGGCCGAAGTTCGCCACTTGCACCGCGGGCCACACCATCCAATTGGTGCGCACCGTGTCCCACCACGCGTGGTGGAGCTTGCTGGTCACGGCGCCGCGCACATCCGCGGGCGCCTCCATGACTGTCATACATGAGAAATACAACGGAATGCCTACGAGCGGCGCAAACACACACTGGTCCAAGGCCACGCGTGCAAGCGTGTTGGCCGCGGCACTCGAGCCCACCGAGACGCGCGCCAAATAGCCAAACCATTTTCCGGCAAGCGGGCCAAAAACAAGCGACCCGTACGCCACCGCCCGCGCCGTGCGCGGCATGTCGTAGGCGGCGGATTTCGCAGCCAGGCCCGCGGGCGCCGGCCGCCGCATTTCGAGCTGCTGGGCCAAAAAGTCGCCCGCGCCAAAGAGGAATCCGGTGGTGGCGATATTGGTGGCCAACGGGCGCGTGTTCATGAGATGGTTGTACTTGCGGAAAAAAAAAGACATGCTGGCAGGATCCTGGGGGGTCTGGCTGCACGGTCAGCGGCAAATGCACTTTTGGGATACAGCAAATCCAGCGGGGGATGCAGCGGGGGATTCAGCGGTAAATCCGGCAAATTCCGTAAGAGGCTCAGGAAGGGATCACTAAATGATCACAAAGAGACTCACAGAGGCTTCTTAGAAAGCTCAAAAGATCACACAGATCACAAAGACCACAAAAGATCACAAAGATCACAAAGACCACAAAAGATCACAAAGACCACAAAAGATCACAAAGACCACAAAAGACCACAAAAGATCACAAAGATCACAAAGACCACAAAAGATAACAAAGATGTTTTCTGAAAGAAAGCTCAAAAGATCACAAAGACCACAACGATATGCAGAACGGTTTCAACAAGAGTCCTGCGACGGGTCCACCAATAAGCCAAGCGACACGTTCGGCAATAGAGCAAAGAGACGAGGTTGTAGCAGACAATCACAAAAAGCGCTCAAGGTTGCTGGTGAATTTGCTGGCTAGCCGCACCATCCCACGGGGCGCCTTGCCCCTTTATACGCGTGGCGCTGGCTTAGCGAGAGCAACCGTTTCACGCACCGAAAAAAAAAAAAACAGTAACTGAATTTGCGAGCCTCGCAAAGTTGTTGCCACCCGCTCGTAATTTTAGGCGAAAGCCGCCAGGTTGTGACGCGGCAAAAAAGGAGGTTTGCAGAAAGAGGCCATGGACGTGTCTCCGATATCCGTTTCTATTTTCTCCAGGCGGATTTGCAAGCCGCGGGTTGGATTCCTAGCCTTTTCGTTGTTTTGTTTTGTTATTTTTCTGCCAACATGGTATATGGGTGGAAGATGATTCTGGAAAAACGCCCTAAGAGGTCTGCGGGCATAGTGACAGATGTCGCACTGGATCAGCACCAGAACCACTGGAGCCTCTGCGACGGCCCCAACTGCCAAACCTACAACAGGCACGCATTTCCCGCTGAATTCCGTGAATTTTGAAGAAAACGTCTAACCGGCTTTTTTGGGGAATCCAATTGGCGTGTGTGTCTCATAATCTTGCAACTGGCGATAACGAAGCACACCGGCCATTGCCTGGCCTTGTATACACACCAGCGATGGGGCACCGGCCATTCGTCCCGATCGCCCTGGTCGTCCCGTTGGATGTCGGGAATGTCGCGTTTTGCCAGTCTTGGGACCTGTCAGCTCCTGCAGATTTCGTCTGGTGCTTCTCCAGAAAAACCATTCCTCATGTGCACTGCTTGCGTGCTTGGCAGGTGTTCGGAGCTGCAGCGGGCTGGGAGCCCCATATTCTGCGGCTACTACCCAAAAATAAGGGCCTACTGTGAAACGCCCTCGCGGGACTTTCCCATGTTTTGGTCTTTTTAAGTCTTTTCCTAGCTCTATCAGATATGGTGAGGTTCCAAACCCCGCACTCCAGTCCTCCGACGTCGTCCGCCATGATGTGTGAATATTTGCGCCAGCAAAACGCCTGCTGTGCGTCTGTATGTTAGGGCCCGATGCAGTAAACCAATGCCGCATTGTCCGGGCCTGCCCCGGGCCCTGAGGGCCGTGGGCCGTGTCGTGCATGGACTCCTACGAGTAGACCATGGTCTGCTCCTCGTCAGCCGACTCGATGTCCACAAGCTCCTCGATGAGCTTGCCGCTGCCCTTGCCGTGGCCGCTCGTGTTGTGCACAAAACTCAAGAAGCAGTTCCAGCCGATGGACCAGAAATTGGACACCACGATGCGGAGATGGATCGGCACGCAGAACAAGTTGAAAAGCTGCAACGGCGTCCACACGGTCCAGTTGGCCTTCAACACGCCCCACCAGTTGTTGCGCAACTTCTCGCTGGCTACGGCCAACGGGTCCAGGTGGAAGGCCAACGCGCTCATGACCGTGTTGTACATGGGGATCCAGATCAAGCCCGGCATGAGCAACGCGTCTAGTGTGAGCCTGAAAAGCGTGTCATGGATGTGCATGGAGTAGGGCTTCATTTTGGCCCGCTTGGCCGCGGAAAGAAACGGGCTCATGATGTACGGAAGCGTTTTGGTGTGCCATTTCACCGACACAGGCCCGAAGAAAAAGCACCCGTAGACCATGGCCCGGTACGTCCTGTCCAGGTGGTATTCTGTGGGGTTTTCGAAATTGTCGTCGATGTGGTGGGGGAAAAGGTACTGGGCTAGCACGTCGCCGGCACCAAAAAACACGCCACTCCCGATCATGTTGGTCTTGTAGGGGTGGCTTTTGAGCAAGCAGTTGTAGAATTTGAACGGGCCCGTCATGGTGGAAGAAGCGTCGGGAACACGAAAAAGCAGCGGGCAGATTTTGATCCGAGCACAGGGGGGTGTTTTTTTCTGCTGGGCTTGTATTCTTTTGTACTCCAGCCCAACACGTCAAGCAGGAGGAAGCGATCTTCGGACACTAAGATCCGGGCTCGTCTCACTAATTTGGAGCGTTGGGTGCGCAGGCATCGACCGACCGGATACCGGATACGGCGTGCGTGAGATTAGGTGGCCCGGCCCTGCCCCAGGAATAGAAGGATGGAGGAAAGAAGAAAAGAGAAAAGAAGAAGATAACAGAAAAAACAGAAAAAACAGAAAAAACAAAAAGGAAGAACCTAAATGTGGCGGGCCGCGTCCATTTTGAAAAGCTGTTTTGCGGAGGTGCAATTCGGCAGAGTCTGCCAAAACTGGTCTGGCGGTGCAATCTGGAGCGTACCCTCGGATATCGTTCTGCTGGAGTAATGGAGGCCCGGCTTGAAAGTGCTCGTTTTCCGCAGCGCCGTCCTGCAGAAACCCGGCACGCATGCCGCTACCGCCGAAAGCCTTGCGCTTGTATCTAGGGATTGCCTCAAGAACGGACACATTTTCCGGGCCACGAGAAAGAATTACGGCCAGTTGAAAAAAAGAGAAGCTAAAGCAAAACGACGATGAGGCCGCAGGCGCTGTTTCAGCGGTAAAACAACGCAATTCCGGCTGACGGTGCAGGACATATGCGCACCGTGCCCCGAGTCGACAAATTATCTTTTGGCACGTCTTTCGGCGCCGGCTCGCGGTAAGTTGCCATGTTGCCAAACAAGGAAACGGGGCGCGGGTGATGCGCACCCGTGCACCATGGCGGGAACGTTGGCACGTGACCCGCACACATGGCACGTGACTCGCATGCATACCACGTGACCACGGTCACGCTCGGAGAATGGCCACGTGCTTTTCTGCACGTGTCAATCAGTCACGTGAGCAGAACACACGTGACGGCTTACACGTGCGCGGGCGCCCCCCCTGGCGTTGAGAGCCCCGCCCGTCTATCCCTCGGCCAGTCGTCACCTTCACGGTTCCAAATGGGTTTCAGCCGTTTGCGCCATTTTTCGAGCAGACGCCCCGGATTTTGTCATGGTGAAACACACGGCGTTTCCCGGACCCCTCATTCTCACCATGCGGCCGAAATGTGCTGCACTAGCCGATGGCTTTGGTCCCGTGGGATATAGGGGTAGATATTCCCTTATCAGGATTTGTCGCTCCGCCTTTTCGCCAACGCCGGCGAATTACCGCGGCCCGGATTGCACATACGAGCCGCAGGACTGCAGGCAGCACGCAAGTAGAACCTTCTTTGCTTGATGCCCGGGTTGTGGCCGCGGTGGTTCTGGCTGTTGTGGCCGCAGCGTGAAGTGCCGAGCGTCAATACGAAGCGTATGCGTTGCGCTTTGCGCTACAGGCCTGCAATTGTGGAAACCCCACTGTTTTGGGCCAAAGCTTCTCACATTCAGTGCGCTTTGTGTTTTGCCTATTTCGCAGGGTGGCTGGCTGCACGGGCCGCGGCCTGCACACAAGGGCTTCCGGCGCTCACCCAATTTCTCGCCCAGGGCCGTCGACTGGGGCATAATTGTCTCCGGAATCTGCTCGACTTCTTTTCCTTTTTCTTTTTTTCTTTTTGTTCCACACATTTCCCGGTCGAAACCTACTTTACACTATGCACAGAACTTACTCCATGAGATCCCAGAGGGCCCCAACGGCTGCCCAGATGCAAGCCCCCCCTCCTCCCACCTCGTCCACCAAGTCCAAGTTTTTTGGTAAGGGTTCTCTTTCCCACTCCATCAGAAAATCTGCCGGCGGCGCCTTTGGCCCTGAGTTGGCCCGGAAATTGGCCCAATTGGTCAAGATGGAGAAGAACTTGATGAGATCCATCGAGATCACCGCCAGCGAGAGAAAGGAGGTGGCCAAGCAATTGTCCATTTGGGGCGAGGGCAACGACGACGACATTTCCGACATCACCGACAAGTTGGGTGTTTTGATCTACGAGATCGGAGAGTTGGAGGACCAGTTCATCGACAGGTACGACCAGTACAGAATCACGTTGAAGTCCATCAGAGACATCGAGGGCTCCGTGCAGCCTTCCAGAGAGAGAAAACAAAAAATCACCGACCAGATTGCCTACTTGAAGTACAAGGACCCTCAATCGCCCAAGATCAACGTGTTGGAGCAGGAGTTGGTCAGAGCCGAGGCCGAGTCCTTGGTTGCCGAGGCCCAGTTGTCCAACATCACCCGCGAGAAGTTGAAGATTGCCTTCAACTACCAGTTCGACTCTGTGCGTGAGCACGCCGAGAAGATCGCGTTGATTGCCGGCTACGGCAAGGCCTTGTTGGAATTGTTGGACGAGTCTCCTGTTACTCCTGGTGAGACCAGAGCCGCGTACGACGGATACGAGGCGTCCAAGCAGATCATCATCGATGCCGAGAACGCCTTGGCGTCGTGGACTTTCGACTCTGCTGTCGTGAAGCCTACTTTGTCTTTTGCCGCCCACGAGGAGGAGGAGGACTACGACGAGGAGGACTTGGCCGACGAGGCTGAGCACTTGAAGATCACCGAGGACCAGTGGGCCGAGGAGAACAAGGTTGCAGCCTAAGCAGAGTAGAGAAGATAAAACGAACTTCGAACGTATAGCCGATATTTCCTTTTTGTATCAGTATTAGAATTGTTCCACGGCTACAACCATGCGCCAGACTGTAGGGCCCGCTGCGGGGAATTGCTTTTGCTGCTCCAAAGCAGCAAATCCGTCTCACTGCGTGTCGTGCGCGCGGCGGCGCCTGGACTTGCACAAAGCCGGCGTTGCTGCGCGGGACAGGCCACTGGAACGCGAGCCGGCCCTCTGTGCAGGCCGCCATTCGCGCTTTGCGAAGGGAAAACAAACAACAGCCTGGAGCCAGGCTTTGCACCTGTCTAAGCGTGATACCATCAAACCTGTCATTTTCTACCCCCGGACTCGTCGTCTGTTGAACACTCGCTTATTAAACCATAGCTATCATTCGCCCACGTCGTTCTGCCGCCTGCTTGCGCTCTTTTTCCCGCAGTTCTCTTTTCGTCTCACAGCTAGTTCAGAGCGATCCAAACATCGGGCGTTCGTTGGTGCATATCTCATCCAGCGTCTCCCGCCCACGACGCCTGAGCGACCAAAAACACAAAAAAGTGTCGGCTGGCGAACCTGCTTTTCTTTCAAAAGTCCAGACTTTGTCCCGACAGGCTGGTGAAATTTTGCTGCCATTTTCTGGTGTGCCTAGGTCAGTTGCCGCGGCCACGCACACGTTTTTTTACACGTCTGGAAGTCCCATTCCGACTTTCAGTCTCTGGCCCCAAAAGTGCTTTGAGCACAAGTGCTAGCCCCGGTTTTTTTCCCGAGGACCCCCGGATCGTCCGAGCCCCAGCGCAGCGCCTTTCTGGCCCAGTGTGGACTTTTGCTCCGGTTGCCTTCAGACCACTGGAAGGCGTCTTTAGAGTTGGTTCCAGGTCGGTTCCCGTCTTGAATCCAGAGGCGTTTTTGAGCCTTGCGGCAGTTGCGGTCCCAGTTCCGACCGCCGCTTTCACTGCGAGTCCCAGCTCACTGCGGAAAAGTTTCTGAGTCCAGTCAGGGGTTTCTTTTTATCCGGTTAAGGGTGTATTTTCTGTGTCCAGCTACGGTTTCTTTTCATCCGGTTAAGGGTGGATTTTCTGTGTCCAGCTACGGTTTATTTTCACTCAATTAAGGGTGGATTTTCTGTGTTCAGTTACAGTTTATTTTCACTCAGTTAAGGGTGGATTCTCTGTGTTCAGTTACAGTTTATTTTCACTCAGTTAAGGGTGGATTCTCTGTGTCCAGCTACGGTTTATTTTC